CTTTTGGAAAAGGCTACGACTATACAGCAATGATTAATCGATTTTTCGTCGGAAATTCTGGCGGAGCACCTGGAATTTACTTCCATTACTCATTTACACCATACGGAGTCACTGTTAACGCTACATATCTTACAATCGCACAAATATTTACTTCAATTTTCGGATTTATGTCCGGAGCTTACGCAATCTTCTCTATTATTGATGAATCAATGTTTAAAGATGATAAGAGAATGGCAAAGTCTTCACAAAAGCCAGCTAAACCAAAAGAAGAAGAAACAAGAGAAGAGTGGGGGACAAACTCGCCAATATGGTTTCTTTTGATTTTATTTCATTTATAAGCAAATCAGATTTACCCAAAAACTCCACTCCATAAGCGTTCATTTGCTAAATTAAAAAGTGACAATGGGCTAGTCTGTCCCTTTCTCACAAGAGAAACAAAATAAAATAATATGTATCCGATACAATATTCGACCACTACCATGTCTGATCATTACTATACAGTACCAAGATATTTAAATAAATAGATTATTTACGATGTTTACTTATAAAAATAATTTTATTTTATTTATTAGCAATTTTTAAGAATTTAATAAATGAAAGCTTAAAAAAACTTCATCATATATTATCTACATATCAGAAATGGGAATAATTCATAGATTTGGGATAAAATTTTATATTTTTTTATTAATATCTAAACATCATATCATCAAACATCAGAACTACTAAATGATATATGATTGCTAATAGAAATACCAGTATTTTGGCTAATTTAAGATAAATTTTCTTCAATATCTAATAATATCAACGTAATCGTATAATACAAGAAACAATTTATTATATAATAACTAATATATCGATATAAAAAACAAAAAGGTGTGGACAAATATTTGTTCAAACTGGTTTGAACTTAATCGTCATCTGTAGGATATTCTAAACCCTCCTCTTCGAACCGCTTCTCTACGTAAAATTTCATAATATGTAGTGCTAAATTATTGACATCCGTTAAATTTACAATTATATTTTCAGATACAGGGTATATATTTGGGTTAACATATTGTATAATTCCAAATAGAGCTCGTGCATCTTTTGGATTTGGTAGCATCGAACATGCTCTAATAAACGCATTTACTTCACTTTTATTTAAGATCCTTTCCGGATCATCGTCGCTGTATGTATCAAAGTAACTTACAATCTTATCTGGAGATTTTTTAACCCAATTTTCGAATTTCATCTGGATTGATCCAAATGCATTCATTCTATCTACAGTAGTCATTGTTTCTTCGGAGTTAATTAGCTTCATCGCATACTTTTCTAAATCCAAAGTCAAATAACCAATGTAACTATTTTCTCCAAAATAAGATTTTGCGTTCTTAAATAACAGCTCCAGATCGCTTTTCCATTCACTACTACGACTATATATTTTTGTTGCAATTTTTGTTCTAATGGTTGTAATATCAATCGGTTTTTTTATACGCCGATAGTAATCTTCTGCAAAATCAGATTCCACATCTACTGGATCGATGAACGAAGCAGCTTCTGGCCGCCGTATTAAAGCATCAATGACTTCAAGTGCGAAATCTGTTTCATAATCATTCATAATTTACAATAATCGTATTTTTACGATACTTCAGAACGATCAATTCCAATTCAATTTTGAAAAAAATCTTAATATTTCAAAAGGATGGTAATTAAATGTTCATAACAATTAGCCAGTTTATAATTTAAATCTTTCTGACAAATTTGACAATTTGCTGTGATTTTTGCCATTATTCTGATATGGAAGACCAGAACAAAAGGCGGCTTGGAATTATCACTGCATCAGTAGGTATGATAATCCTTTTTGCATGGATAACAGTTTTGTTTGTTAGATTCGTCCAAAAAGCCATTTTACGTCCTTCATTACCTTTAATCTTATACTTCGTAGCAATTATCATCGTTGAAATTGCACTTTCAGCACTACTACTCATATTTACCAAGTCAAACAATCCATGGGCTCACTTCTGGATGGCAATTTTGGGAGGACTCCTCACAGCAATCTCTATTCTTAACTTTGTTACATATACATTTGCCAAAAATACGCTAGTCTACACTTATAAGCACTTATGGACCAATGACAACATGCAACAATATGGAATTACTATCGAAGATAAGTTTGACTGCTGTGGATATGATGACACAACATACGCATTATCAAGCAACACATCAAGATGCTACTTCTTTGTTCAAAAGCAAAATTCGTGCTCTGTTAAACTTCTCAATTTCTTCTTCAATCAATGGAATCTGATTACTGGCATTACTCTCAACGTTTTAGCTATAATAGCATTCCTAATGTTTGTAATTATCGAATTAGGAAGAATTGATTTCGATAGAGCTGATTATGATAAGCTTCAGCTCCGCCCAATTCAAGACTTTTAAAGTTATACGAATTAATGGTATTTTTTAATTTTTTAAACGTTTTCTTCAAGTTTTAATAATTTTTTAAAATATTTATAGCACTTACTTAATATAAATACTAATTTCACTCAGCAATAAATAATATCGCTTAGGCTCAGCTATAAACTAATTACAAAAATGAAGAAATTTAAAATTTTAATTTTTTAAAACAATACTACATATTTAAGGTCTTCACATATCAATATATAAATAATAGATGGATATATCATTAGGCTTTCATTCTAGAAATGAATATGGAAAGCATTATGCCAAAAACGGCAATTGGGGAGAATTCCGTAGAACAATCCGCATAAAGAGTTGTTGGATTAACCTTCCTAATAGCAATCATTTCATGTGAATGCCTTTGGAGATCAATACTCTGAAAGATAGTGTTTTTGTCACTCGGAATCACACTTCTATTGTTGAAATCAAGAGACCACTTTCCGTCACGAAGAATTGGCAAACGAGAAAACATTTCCAATTTTAATTTTCCATCTTCATCAAAGATTCCTACTTGAGTCTTTCTGGGCGTTTTACTAAGAGAACATTCAGGTGTAACATCCATAACCATGATCGGAATTTCAGAATTTCTGATATTCAAAATAAAGTGAGTATTTTGTTGAGATGGCATCAATGAGTGTAGTGTTGTGTCTATCTTGCTGTATGAGTCATGATATTTAATTTCAATAGGCTTTGACGGATATCGTCCAACGCATGTCGCCAAAAACTGGGGTTGCCCATTAACATAAAACGTGAAAGTATATTCACGACCACGCATTGTGAACTTTGATGTGCGTTGGCATGAAAAATATTCGACCGTCTTACCTGGCTCAGATGGAAGTTTACAATCAACGAGTTTCGATTGATTAATATACTCCTCTGTTTTAGGATTATAGTTTGGATCGAATATATTTTCACAATCTGAGCAAGACATTCTTGATCCAATTTCAAACTTCGAGATTGGCATGGATTTTCTGTTTGCAGTTATTGTACTATTTCGGCGTGGTAGTGGCATGCATTTAGGGATCGTTTTTGGAATTGTTACATTATTCGAGGCTGTTTCATTAAACGACATTTACAAATTCTTTGAGAATGATTCAATTTGAAAATTGCATACTCAATTTCGTTATTTTCGAAAACTTGATAATTAGCATCTTAAATACGTGGACATTTATTTTAGCCTATTTATATGTTTTACAATTGAAAAATAATTCAAACGTATTCTCAATTATCACTCACAAGAATATTTGTTCTTATTGTATCGTTAACTTTATTTCATTTTTCATTTTCAATAAGATATTTCAATTTTTACAACAGATCACATGTAATGGCATAATGTTAATAAGCAATAAAAATCAAGATTATTCACACCCAAGCTGCAAAACAAAGTTTTATATATTCTACGGTTCAAAATAACAAATATTATGCGAAAACATGAAACAATCTATACTTTTTATAAGGGCTTTCAGTTAGTTTATTATGCATTTATCAAATAACTCTAATCTAAATAGTAATGGTGGATTAAACTAACAAATATATTATCTTTCATTGAATCATTCAATTATCTTCTCATAAAAGAGTTTTCTCTTGGCGCATATATTTCGACCTAACAACAAATTTTGGAAGAAAACTATCTTTAGGTATCTAATTAAATCGAACCTTTCCTCAATTCTTATCTTAACTGGAATGAAAGTAATCCTTTCCGAGCTAGTTAAATATCTAGAAATGAAAAATATATTATGAAAAATCACTGCTTTATATGGATTAGTGCAAGTATTCTTAAAATATATAGAAAATTTTGTTAATAATTCTTTAAATCTATTTTAAAAATTGAAATCGGATCATGTTAGTCACAAATATAATAAAAACAAACAAATTCATTGATTTGTAATTTCTATTGTTTTCCAAATTAGTAGTTTATAAATAAAATTAAATGAAAAATAAACAATCAATACATGGTGACTTAGGCCAATCCCTAGTAACCATCATCTTCGGTCTTACCGTAGAGTATCATGAAAACAACGAATCCGATGCAAACTGCAACATCACCACCGATCATAAAGCCGAAGCACTTCTTGTTAATTGTTCCGGCATGCCAGAAAACTACATTTAGTGCGATGGTGGAAACAACGCTGCAAACGAGATAAAAAAGAACTGAATCAGCTGTAAAGATATTGCATCCTTCTGTGTCTTCAACATAATCGTCACCAAGCTTTGTTGATAATGAGACGCCAAAGATGCAAGAAAGTGTTGCTGGAATTATGCCGAAGAGTGGCCACCATGTTTTTGTGATAGCACATCCTGCAATGAAAAGAACAAGAGCAATGGTACCGAAAATACCAATTACGATATATGGAGCTGCCTGAATCATTTTCTCTGTTTAAAAAATTGATTAGCGGTTATTTTTCACCGAAAAAGCGGTTTCTATAAAAAATTAGAAATTGATAAATTTTATAAATTTTCGGAGAGAAAACAATACAGCTTCATGTGGTAGGGCACACACATCCAGGAGAACTTAAAATCAAAAAAGTCGCATTTGATTTTTGCTAAGCGAGACTTAACAAATAATGATATATTATTGACACATGGATGACAATATATTTTTGAACTCGCGGCGAGGATTTGAGGAGAATTTTTGTTGAATTTTATTAAGGTTTATTTTTGGCATGAACGACTTTGCGCGGGATTGTTTATAAAAAAAAAAAAAAAAAAAAAAAGGAAGTGGGGCTTCCAGGCACTTCGTGCCTTCTAGCCCTGAGGATGTTTGGTATAATGAAGTTTTTTTTTTCTTGGGATGGCCTTCCGGGCACTTCGTGCCCTCTAGCCCATAAAAAGTTTAGTAATAAATGAAGTTTTTATTCGGAAAAATTGTTAGTCTTCTGGGTCGAAAACATTATATATAATGTGTCGCTTTTCACAAATTATATATGTTTTCATGTTTTGTCAAGACTTCTTCGTAAATGTTTTGTCAAGACTTCTTCGTAAATGTTTTGTCAAGACTTCTTCGTAAATGTTTTGTCAAACATGAACGTACATGTTTTGTCAAGACTTCTTCGTAATGAGTGTAAATGACCAAAAATATAATTTAGGGTAGAAGGTTAGATCTAACCTCTTTTCTAACCTCTTTTCTACCCTCTTGAATTTGTCATGATTTCTTCGTAAATGTTTTGTCAAACATGAACGTACATGTTTTGTCAAGACTTCTTCGTAATGAGTGTAAATGACCAAAAATATAATTTAGGGTAGAAGGTTAGATCTAACCTCTTTTCTAACCTCTTTTCTACCCTCTTGAATTTGTCATGATTTCTTCGTAAATGTTTTGTCAAACATGAACGTACATGTTTTGTCAAGACTTCTTCGTAATGAGTGTAAATGACCAAAAATATAATTTAGGGTAGAAGGTTAGATCTAACCTCTTTTCTAACCTCTTTTTTCACCTCTTGAATTTTCATGACTTCTTCGTCATAGGCACGGAGATAGGACGGTTATTTTACAAAACTAACAACACGTTGACCGAGTAGTTTTTTGTGCTGAACAAAAAGTGTCATATAAACATCTGTCAAAAACCGCTTTTTAACTTCACTTAAAATGCCACGTAAGCTACGTAAGAATATACGTAAGAGGAAGAGAGCATTGAAACATCCAATAGTAAAACTGACACCACAACAACAGTTGCAACAACAAATTATGAATGACCCCACTATGTTGCAACAAATGTCAAGCAACCCTATGCTTTTAAACCGAGTTATTGGTGCACAGAGTGGAGGTTTAAGAGCGGCACTTTTAGCGAAAATGGCAGGCTTTGGTGGAGCTGCAGACGGAACAGCTTATAACCCTCAAAGTCAAATGAATTTGAGTTCACTCAAAAATCAAATAGCAGATGTCAAAAAGTCAAACATAGACATACAGAAACAAATAAGTGAAAACGAAAAGAAACTAGAATATGACAGACACACAAAGAAACTAAATGAGTTAAACGTAGAGAAAAAGAAGAAAGAAGAACAACACTGAAAGAACTAAGTACAGAGGAATATGCGAAAAAAGTGTCAGAAAAAGCAGCAGAAGTAGCAAAAATGGAACAAGATGTTATAAATTTGAAAAACCATACTACTCAATATAAAGTACTGAAAGATGAAGAGATAAAACAAAAAGCCCTGAAGACATATATGGATAGCGATGAGTATAAAAAAGAAGTTGAAGCAAATGTAAAAGGCAGAAAAACTTTTACAGTTGCAAAACCAAACCGTACAGTATGAAAACTTAGCACAAGAAAGTAAAAATAACGACGCAGCCATGCAAAAGGCAATGAAAGCGCAGAATATATAAAAGCTAATAATGACTGGTTAGATGCCCAAGCCAACGCTAAAGCAGCCCAACTTATAGGGTCAATAAGGACAAAAATACAAGCGGATGAAGACAGTTCAAATGAAGCTTTAATGAATGCTGACTTTAAGAATGCCTTCGAAGCTCTTCATAGTAAGGTGAAACTAGTGAACGACTTCTCATCTGGAAAGAAACTGAAGTCTGAAGGTTTCGACAAAGAGTTAAGAGAAGTAGCACAAAATATGACGAAAATAACAGATGCAGCAACGAGACAGGCAGTTCAAAGTGCCTATGACGCCGTTAGAGCAACTGTTGTGGAAAGTCAAGAAAAAGAGTTACAACAGACCAAAACAGACCTAGTAAATGCTTTCTTAAAAACGAAAAGTCAGGTAGGACATTATGCTGCAGATGGAACATATGTGCCAGCTGGTGGAACGTATATACCACCAAACCCTCCAAGAGAAGCACCTGCACCCGGACTACCTAAAACATTTACATCGTCACATGGACACAGACACAGGCATGCACCAAAACCAACACAACAACCAACAGTTCAAAATCCAGCACAACAACCAACAGTTCAAAATCCAGCACAACAACCAACAGTTCAAAACCCTGCACAACAACAACCACAACCAGCACAACAACCAACAGTTCAAAACTCTGATCTCTCCAAGAATGCGATTTCCTGATTTGTAAACTGCTGGAGTAACTACAAGGTCGTATCTGTAAACAACTGGTTGATTTGGATTTTGAATTTGTTGGACGTATCTAAGAGGGTTGTATGTGAGTGGTATTTTAGGTCCAACTCTCATTCCTTGAATTACGTGAGAAAGATCGAAATTTGGTAATTGACCTGAAAGATCATGAACGTGACCGTATCGTTCCTTCATATTTGTGCCAGGAGCAATGTGGAAATTACCTTGGGCTTTATTTAAGCAGACTTTTCCTTTAATTCGGCATTTTTCGTTTTCATAAACTTTGCCAGGGTTTTTTCCTTGGCATTGCGGCCAATCTTTCGTATTTGCAGCCTTTCCGTTCATTATATGCAAAAGGAGTGTTTGCTCGCAGCTATTGCAGCAGGATCCCTCTGGTAAAAGGCCATAACAAGAGTGACAAATGCTTGAGATGGTTTCGTTTGCATATCCGAGTTCTTTTTCTTGCGCTGAGAGGCGGATGAATTTAGCTGTTGTATTTATATTGAGTTGATTGAATCCGAGATTATCAATAACATCAAGATGCAAAAAGTAGCATGGCATATTTACTTTGACATCTAAAGAAACGTTAGCAAGCTCTTGTTGATCTAAACCTTGGATTTCAAGATTAAGATCTCTAACAAGTTTTGGTTGTATAAGTCCAAAAATGTGTATTAAAACAATAGTTGCGCCAAAAGCAGTCAAAATTGTGGATAATATTGCACTAGACTTTGTATCGAGCTTGAAATCATCATTAGTGGATTTATCGAAGATATCAATATATTGAATAAAAGAACGCATAATAATTGAAAAAGTGACAATTTTATTATCATTTCTCACTCTATCAGATTGAGTGAATTACTTAGAATCAATTGTCTTTGCATGGGTATATACACTATGATATGGATTATTGGAATGGAAAATGCAGAGATTGATCGATTTAAAGCATTATTTGAATTATTTATTTTTGATTTTGGGAGTTTACTGAATAATTTGCATTATAAAGATATCTGACATCTGAAAACCTACTCTTTCTATCAGTATTCTAAGCATTTCAATCAGATATAAGTGTACAATGTTATAATCATATTTTAATGAGAAACATTGAAAATGCATAACTTACTAATGGGTTTAAGGTAATACTGGAGTAAAATACTGTAAAAACTGATGTGTTTTCTAATAATATAGTTGGTTCAACCTCTTTTCTTGCGTTATAGGTCGAAGGTATGTAGGAATAGCAGAATTTTGATATTCAAGCGTATCAAAATTAAGGGAAAAAGATAAATAAATTATAAATTTTATCTTCTCTTAAGATTGAATAGCATAATTCATGAATTGTAAAGCAAACTCTAAATGTAAAAGATAATATTGGTTTAAATAGTGAATTTTACTCTATAAATTTAATATGTAACAAGGTAAAACTTTGGTTGAGGAATGGCGTTCTGGAGTGGGAAGTTGCCACCCTTATTCCAGTTATATCCAGTGGAAACCAAAACTCTAGACTCAGTTGTTCCGTCTTTTTGGAAACAAACTTCTGTAGCAGCAACGATTGATGCATTAGCACTTAATTTAGGAATTTCTGCATAATTTCCTGTAGTTGTAGCTGTTGTTTTGCTATCAATAAAGTAAATTACGGTTCCTGTGATAACTACGAATTTACTGTCTTGGAGATATAAAATATGAGATATGTATGAGTCCAAAGCTTTCATTTGTAATGTAAAAGTAGATGAAGGAACTTCGAGATCGAAACCAATGATTTGTCCAGTAGAAAAGCCTGCGTAAATGACAGGTACAACGCGCTTTTGTTCTTCATTTGTGAATTTCATTACTGTTGCTGCTGTAACCATTGTTTTTTGAGTAGCATTTTGTAAACCATTAATTAAATTAAACTCTGGCTTTAATTCTGTTGGAAGCGGCTTAGTTATATCAAATTTGGAAACGCATCCGTTAACATATACAACAACACAAAAGTTCAAAATAAGGAATAAATTTATTGGACGTTCTGGGAGCTTAATTTTTTGAACAGTATTTTGAGCTTCTTGATATACGTAAACTTTTTGGCTTAAAGCAGCAATAAATAACTGTGCTGTTTTAGGACTCCATTTCAAGCCAACAACAGGGCCTCCACACTTATATATAAGGGCTGGTGCTTTTAGTGATGGATTTAATTTGTAAATATCGCCATTTGCAGATCCGAAGTAGCAATCTGGTTCTGAAGATTCTTCTTGAAGACAAGTTCGCAAGAAAGGCCATCTCTTTCCTGATGATTTCTCTGCAGTCATATTTATTATTGCATCTGCTTTAAACAAATCCTGAACGTCAATAACTCCGATATGTCCTTCCCAAGTGCAAAAGGAAGTAATAGAAAGGCCATTTGGAGAATATAAATCTGCAATTGTAGTATCCTTGATTTCTGGACATTGTAATTCAAGAATGCCTAATTTTTTACCAATAGTACTCTTCGCCATTCTTTTGCACTTTTTATTTTTTTCAAAGCAATGAAAAAAAAATTATGATCCTAGATTTGTCATCATAAAATAATAAAACAATAGCTAAAAATTCATATCACATTTTCTCAAGGTCCAAAACCTAATATTTACAGAAATTTTTAACTAATATTTGTAATATACCAATAATACCTACGCATTTGGCAGTTTAATGAAATGTATGATGAATGGTTATTCCTGACAATGATAGATCTTAATCTAAATTTGAAAATATTTAATTCTCACAAAACAAGGGCTAATAACTCCATTTCCATATCTCACTAGACAATTTATGTTTGATATGTTCTCAACCTACTCATTTATGACATCATAATAAAATTGAATCAATATTTCAAATAAGTTGTTATTGTTTGTGTTTGGAATATGATAAATTTTGAAAATAGAATCTTAGATTGACATGAATGAATCTTAAATTGGAAAAAATGAAGAAAAAATTGAAAAAATTTCGGATAAAAACTTTTACAAATATAAAAACAACAACAAATAACTACTTAGTGTATAACGGAAGCTGTGATTCAAGGCTGCTTTCAACATTTTGGTAGTGTCTATCAAGAAGTTTCAAATGACCGATTTGGAATGGATAATAATCCTGTTTTGAAGGATGAGTAAGTATATACAAGAAATCTTTCTCATTGTTCTTTGTTGCGTCGCAAATTGTTTCGAAATATTGAGCAACGTTGTGTTCAAGGTTCGCATTGCAAAACTGAGCGACTTCTGAGAACCTAAATGCCATGATAGAAAGAATTGTATGATAAATTCTCAAATCCATGAGTTTCTGATTTAATAATGTGGATTTGTTAATTAAAGCAACGCAATCACCTTGGTATCTGACTTGTACATCATTAACAAGATCAAAAGCTTCTAAAATCTTATCATCTAACGTATAAGAATCGATAGCATTGAAAATAAATTGGAAAAGAATTGATGGAGCGAAACGATGGCATATGCAAATATCTACACCATGCTGGAATGTTTCAGCTGCATATCCGTAATAGTGGAAATATGTGTAAGAATCTCCTAATTCTTGCAAAACTTGTAAAAGAATTGAAAATTTCCCGTCAGCTTCGAGTATTTTCGATGCTTCTTCAAATGAAAAAACAGCTACTGAGAATGTAGGCTCCCAAAGTTCTTCAAGCATCGGAGTAATTTTATAATAGTATTTTGCAGACTTTACGCTGTATCTTGCACTGCTCATATGGTTCCTGACTGCATCGGATTTCTGTCCAAGCTTGAGAAAACACTTTGCTAGCTCGGAATAAATAGATGCGATGGATCTGAAGTTGTGTTCCTGTTGGTCATCAATTTTTCGAAGTAACGTTTGATATTCTACTATGAATTCGTTGACTTGGCTTGATGATTTGTATGATTTGTTATATCTTGAATTTATTTCATCAATTTCAGCTTGATATGAAGTTATTTCTTTATCCTTAAGCGCTGCAGCAGCTTGATTGTTAGATGATTTGGACTGAAATCGACTGAAAGGGTTAAATTTTGAAAACATATAAATATTGAAGCGATATCGTCCGATAAAAGTGACACGTCTGAAATCATATTCAAAAAATCAAATCTGATTGGAAAATCATAAAGTTCTTTGCTTAGTATATCCGATATTTCGATTTTCAATGAAATTTTGAAGAAATTTAGTGGATAATATGCGAGATTTTTCGTATTTATAATCCACAAATCTAATGGTAGTACTAGAGATGTAAAAAATGAAGTTTGGTGAAAAAAATAAATAAATAGAGATTTCAAAATATGCTCACATATTCAATTTGTGATATTGAATTGAGTTGCTTTCATCAGTATTGATTTGAGATGCATTTAAAATTATTGAAATTTGAAAATTAATATGAGATATCTATAAATGTATAGTTATTAGTACAATGATAATCATCTTGTGTACGAATACGCCAGATATGTGGGTTATTATCGATACACACTTCTAATTTTGATGCTTTCAAAACAAATTGTATATTTCACGAAGAACAATCAGTTTAATGAGTTAATTTCAGAAAGGATAGTACTCATTTGTTCAACTAATATACACCTAGTGAAACAAATTAAAATTGTTTGATGTTATGAGTATTTTCAATGATTTTATCCCCAATATATTTTTTGTTCCCCCTTAAAATCTTCAATTTGGATTTTACATCCAAATTTCATCCATCGTGATGAAGCTCCTAATGATATTTGGCTTTTCTTCTATGGAACACAATCTCAATCAACACCAATTAAATGCGTTAATTGCAATGCAACAGTTGAAAACGGCGAATGTTTTTTATTTTTCAGTCAATTTTCTCGTTTATCAGCTGGTGCTATTGTGTTGCAGAATGCTAACACTAAGTTTCTCCATTCCGAGTGCATTTTCAACAATTGCAGCCGAAATAACAACGGCGGCTCAATCTACTTCAATTGTAACGGCAACGTTGTTCAGCATCGATTCTGCTCTACCAATTCGCAAGTTACATCCGGATACAGTCATTATTCCTACACAGACTGCCAAACTGAAACAAATTTTCAAATAATTTCAGAAAGCTCAGTTTCTTCATGCGGAAATACAAAGCAATATAGTACAATTTATTTTCGCCATGGTAGCGCGAACATTACTTTATCGAACATTACAAAGAACACTGCTACACAACAAGCTGCTTATTCACTAGCTCAAGATACGAAGTCTTTTGTTACTTGTTGTAATATTGAAAGTAATTCTTGTTCAAATGGTGGATGGTGTCTTGCACATCATTGCTGTGCATCCGATGAACACAACATTCAATCATGTAATATCATTAATAACTCTGTTACTTCAACAAGATTTGGAATTATCCTAACTGGGAAAAAAACAACAATTTCGAATTCAACAATTTTTAAAAATTTTGGAAGTTCAATTTTATTTGATTTTGCTGGTAATTCTCCACCTATTCTAATTGAAAATTGCTATTTACAGAGTACTCCTTCTATTGATTCAAGAATTACAACAAATAATGTTGAATTAATTGATGAACTAAAAACAATAGATATTTACAATAAATGTGATTCATTGTATTATCAACTCAACGAAGAAGATATTACTGATAATGTTTTTGACTACTATCACATTACATACATTCTAATTGCATTTTTTGTTCTTCGTTCATCATAAAAAACTCTGTTTTCTTTTATTTCATATTTTTGATTTTTACTTATGCATGTTTTAGTATTTCATTTATAGGTTCAAACATGAGTTTAAGATAGAGTTTATTGTGGGGTAATTCTTTTCCTTTTTTCTAAGTTCTCATCGTGAAGAAACCAGTGAGGATTTGAGCCTGAATAATTTTGATGGTTTGTATAGGAAATATTTCCTAATAACCTTTTAAAAAAGATGTATAGTCTAAGCGTGTGTCAAATCTAAGAAATAAAAGTCAATGAACTTTTATTATAGATTCACTTACGCCAGTATGACATCACCTTCAATTCTACGCCGTTTGCAAGAAATTTGAATTAAAGTCAGATGGGCCTAAGGCCATCCTTTATATACTTTATGAAACCAGCATAAAATTTGAATTATTTCATGTCTCGTATTTCGATATATAAGGGATTTTTCATAAGAGTCAAAATATAGAAGAGGTAGAACAGAGAAATAATAGAAAAGCAAATAGGTATGATTGCGAGGTATCAAGTTTATTGGACTGACATTTGGAATCACTTCAACTAGGGCATTAAAAGGAAAGGATTTTTCATTAGATTAAGGGTGTACTTACCACTTTCTGACACATTCATAAACAGAATGTGCCTCTTCACACATGTTTATCTCTTTTTCAGAGAATGTCAGAAATTAATTTCATTCTTAAAAAAATGAAAATATTTATAATAAAAATAATAGATATGTGACGTTTATTCCATAGCAGCCCTCACCGAATCGATATTCTTATCAAGAATCACATACATCTGAAGAATTTCGTCAAACTGACCTCTAATATCCATAAGCTGCCTAACTTCATCATCAGTAAGGCTATTAAGTGTTGGCTGCAACTCAGGGTTAACTCTTGGTCTTCTAAGTGGAGGAGGCCTTTCATCCTCTATTCCGGCCTCTCTCTTGGAGACAAGAATCTGTTCTAGTCTGTTCTGAGCTCTTTGGAGGTCTTGTTGTAAACGTTCTTGGTTTTTTTCATGTTTGATCTCGTTATTATGGATATTCTCGGCAATTCGGCGTTTCTCGGTTTCTGAGTTGGAATTTCTAAGGCCATTGTTGTAATCAGCTTGTGCTTGGTTGAAATTATTAATATCATCCAGAATTCTTCTTTGGATTCTTTGTACGTCCTCACGAGCATTTCTCTCGTTGGCCGGTGTGTAGTTTGTATCGCTTTGTGTGAAGCTTTCTTCATTAAAATGTCTGTAATAAGGTGTATTTGGTCTTGGCAAATCTTCTCGCTTGAAAATCATTGTAATTCTTTGGATTTGCTCTTCGTTGAAGAGCAGTCTAAGCAGCGCTGGGATTTGGATATCATTGCTCTCTCCATTCAGCAAATAATCAACAGCTTGCTCTGGATTGTAATCGTTTTTTCTAAGAGCACGAATAACACTGTCTTTTGCAAAGCCTGCTTCCATTAATTTCTTGACCATGTCGTCCATGTTGTCTGGATCCTTTGCAGAGCGTTTCTTCTCATGCGCGATCACGTTTTCGTAAGAATTATAGATTCTAGGCTTCGATGTTGTAGTATTCATTAACGATTGTTCAACCGCGTTATGGAGATCTTGAATTCCTGAAGTAATTTGAGCTTTTGGTCTAGAATGAGATGTAGGTGTTTTTCTATACACAATCGGGCATTGTGCTTTAACGATTTCATCGATAGGGATCTCTTTCGAGATTACAAAGTTATTTTGATAAAATAAAAACTTTTGCTTTTCTAAGTTAAGCTCCTTGCAGAGCTGTGCAGAAACTGTATCAGGATTAAACTTACCTGATATATCAAGAGTAACTGATGTTCCTTTTACAGATATAAAAGCAATTTTCACCATTTTGTAAATTTTTTCCTAAAATTGTTCAGATGGCACCTTTTTAAAGTCGTTACAAAACTAATGAATTCTTTATAGTTATTGGCTTAAAATTATTTTACCTAAAAATCCAAATTTAAAAATAAAAAGTGGCAAAATTTTTTCGATCTTCATTTGTCTCATATCAAATTCCCGTCTTACTACTTGAATTTGAACCAAAAGTTAATCTTTGTCTTTGGGAAACAATAATTTAAATTGTGGCAGCATTTAGCCTTCAATATCTGATAACAAATTTAATCTTCTTTTGTACTCAGCAATATCGTATGGAGACCACAATGTGTTCTGTGTTCACTAATTAATTTATATAATTTTTAACGAAACATTAAACATTCCACTTATTTTTTTCTGAATATGAAATTCGAGATTATAATCAGTTACATACAGCTGAGCTCACATGAAAATTTAACATTTGGCTTTAGATAGAATTCGGTTTTGGTAGTTATCTCAAAATTTATGATGAATTTATGATGATTTTCTATTCTTTCGATTATCATACATGATATATGAAATAACTAATGACATTCCTTTATATTGTACTGCCTGCTATGGATATTTCAGTGATTGATTTTGTTGATTAATCATTAATTACCTAAATGCTTCTTTCAATCATATTACTGTGAGTTAAAAATACCAGGTGCATGGTTATTTCATATCTACTACAATATTTTAAATACCAAAAAAAATTAAAAAAATAAAATTATCAATAATATTTTAGAATTTTTTCATGAAAATAAAGAATTTATTACAAATTTGGAAAATAGATATGCTTATAAATTGATCCAGTATATGTTTGCAATATTTTTGAAATGTTTTATAGCTGTAAAAAAAATTTTTTCAATCAAATTCTTAACATCTTCAAATTACAACATAATAAACATCACATTCATGCATAAAACTCTATAGTTATAGTAGTTTTACATTATTTTTTTAAAAAAATTTCAAAAAGAAATAACGTGGGTGATTTTTCACCCGGCTATAAGGGGCTCAACTTTTGAGAGTTTTACACATAAAAGTATAGATTCATAGGAAATTCTGGCATTGTGAGGAGAAAATCCAAATTAAAATTTAAAATATGGAAGATTTGACTAAATGCATCTTGGTATCATTAATATGTGCAAGCTCCGTAGCAATATAAACATTAAATAAAGAAGTTAAGCTTAAATTGAATAATTCTGATGAATAACTAAGATATAAGCAAGATATTATAGTTAATATAGCAAGCTAATGAATCGATAAACAAATGTCTACTAATAAATATCCTGCCTTCATGCAAAGCGTGTAGAAAAGAAGCAATTAGTATTCCTAGAAAATATACTTTTTTTTCTTGTTTTGTAAATAAACGTCAAGCGATAAATTAAAAATGATAGAATTACCTCAATGCCCTCCTGAATTAAATCAAAAAGTTTTTGAAATGATGGAGAGTTCCGGACAAAACAACAGATTATGCGCAGATTATTTTACAGATTTCGCATTTGAATGTCTTGATTCAAATATTAAATATTTTAAGGCTCCTGTTCATGTTAATAGAGATCAAGCAAATAAAATAGCAGCTCGCTTGATAATGGAATTCTTACAAGAAAAAGATCTCGTTAGAACACTTAATGTTGTAATTAAAGAGGGAAAGAGTGATCTTTTTAGCGATGTTAATGATGCAGACTTAAGTGCTCTTGAATTAAATCCAAGAATACCACCAATTAAGAAATTAATGAGGCAAAGATATGCTTTACCTGAAGAGTCTGAAGGTTGGTTTAACATTGATTCTCAAGTTGAAACGACTATTCATGATGATGACGATTCAGAAGGCGGATCTACATTCTCAGTTGCTACAATTTTAGAAAAAGTTGATAGAAAGAATGCTCATGAGAGTTTAATTGGTTATGCTAGGCCAAAACAAACGAAAAGGCCACGCTACACATGCAATTTCAGCGTTGCCAGTAAATCTCTATCTTACAAATCTGATAACGTTCAAAATCCTAGCAATGATTCACGTCATCTGAACTTAGATGCTGAAAGTAAAGGCATCTCAATAAAAAGTGATACAAAATCAAGGAAATCACATCATTCCAAGAATCTTAACTAGATTTATTCATTATTGTTTTTAGACTTATAAATATGACTGTTTATTGTTCTTTTACCTCTCTAACTGTTTCATATTTTTTCAATAAAATATTATTTTAGGTTATTCTTATTGATAATCTGGCCAGTATATTTGCATCAAGAATCGACCATAAAAGAGTATCAAATAGACATAAATGCATTTCGAATTAACTCAGAACTTACCTTCATAAATTGGAGATTAAAAATTGTTACTCAATAACAATACAACTCATACAATGGTTGAGCAGAATTATAAATTTCTTGGGTAGCGTGATTTTTTGCGAAATTTGTAAAGAATATGGCAGCTCGTTGCAGCTCAACCCAAACGTGTTTAAACTACCTTCTATATAAGGATATCAAAATTATAAAAAGAAAGTAAAATTAAGGGATAGAAGAACATTTATAATATATAATATAAAAGAAAAATAAGCTTAGCTCATATTGTAGATATTGTTGCATGATAAGAATTGTGGCATTCCGGTTGCAATCTCATCATACATCTTGTTAAAGCCGGAACGGCCTGAGAAGTAAGGATCTCTGATGTTTCCGTATAAGATAACCTTGGAGTTAGAAGTATTTGGCTTCATATCTAAGAGGATCTTGTAAACTTTCTTATCTAAGGCAACGATGTAATCGAAGAGCATCCAATCATCTGCGCGAATTTGTCTAGCTCTATGCTTGGAGAGATCCATACCATGTTGAGCTAAGATTTCAACAGCTCTGTCATCGGCCTTTTCGTTGATATGGTGATTTGAGATTGCAGCTGAGTCGATTTTAATGTTTCCATTTGTGAATTTGTTGGCAAGAACCTTAGCTACTGGTGAGCGGCAAACATTACCGGTGCAGACAAACAACACTGACTTGCTTTCCATGACAATGAAAAAAATGATTTTATGACCAAATGTCCTATCAAAACTTTGATTTGATTTTCCTTGAAAATTTTGTTATTTAATTTTGCCTCTTTATATATTTTTTGGATATCCTACCATATTCCTTATATGTTTAAAAAACGATTCTCAAAGTGACTGAAAATTTTTATTGATTTTAGAAATTCAATGAGCTCTATCAATCTGAGATCATAATTCAATTTATTCAATCAAAGCGATTTAGCCAATCGTTTAAAAATCGCATCAACCATCAATATTAAATATATTTATACCAAAAATAAACGCACTTAATAAAAATTTTTGATCGATTTTTTACGCCTTTGAGAATTTTAATCGCTACAATTTATCATAGTACTATCTATTTATAGTGGAATTTGCTATGAACAAATGAGCTATCAAAATTTTGAGGTTAATTGTAGAAATTCTTTCAATTATATTTTCTCATAATTTGATTGTAAAATGCAGCATTATCATTAAGGAAATATTTCTATTTAATATGGTGATTGGACCTTTCATAATACCGATCTTTTGAATCAATTGAGAGCAATTTGGTCCAGACTAATGACGATCAAAAGGTGCATTTCTTTTTTTAATTATTTATATTCTTGATGAGAATGAACAAAGGATTTTTCATAAAATAAAAAATCGAATTCTTCCAACTGATTTCTAATTTCAATGTATACTTTTTCATTTAATATTCGTCAGAATATTATAAATGAATAATTGGACTAATGACATCTTTTATTAGGAATTATTCGATGATATTCAGAAATTACTTTTTATTTTATGCAGATGAGCTTTTAAGAATAACTGTAATGTAATAACTAGGGGATATAAACTTATTGCCTGATTTGGTTCTTAATCAGATACTTTTTCGCCCATCAATTTCTCAATTTCAATTGAATTTGTTTAATCTTGCTTTAATTTCTTATAGGCACATCTAAAATACAATATTATAATGTATTTTCGCTATTTATTGCATATTGTCCTTGATTTTTTTGACTTCACTTAATTTCTTAAAAATATATATGGAAAACAAAGGTAAATGTTATATACATACACATAAATATTTTAATTTAAAATGAAATTCATACAAATTCGAGACAAGATCGATAATCTCTTTCATATCATTGTTAATAGTGAAATTTAAACAAAAACACTAATTGGAATCTTTATAAATACAAAGGAAAAATCGAAATAACCCCAATTTCATAAATTTTATTAAACAGTGAAAGATTTAATTTCGTAAAAGTCGAAATTATAGAAATAAAACATATTTATACATATTTTTATTCATATTTTAGTAAGTTGATGCCGAATGGGTAATCACATTTCCAAGGTTAAAATTCATAATTTGATTTCGGAAAAATCCATTCTTGATAGTTCTGTATATCAAAAATCCAAATCATTACATGTGGAATTCGTATGTGAATGAGAAATGTACTCTTTAAATATAGTTTCCCTGTAGAAATGATGTAATACACTTATAAATGATTGATAAAAAACAATCATTTCTTCTATGTTATTTGAGATGATGATACCATAAAAGATATGTCCAAAGGTGGCTTAGAAGTGACACTTTATGTTACTTAATGATTTGCGCATTTCCACAAAAATACCTATGATAAAAGACCTTCTTTAATTTCATAGAACATTATAACATAATGAAAGTGGTTATTCCTTAGGAATAAAGCCAATTGAGAACAAAGAATAGTTTACCTTACTATTGTATTATATAAACTCAGCTTGAAATCCAATTCTTCATGAAATCATTAATTAATTTTGTATTTATAAAAAAGTGTTTGTAAATATTGCTTTTATATGAACATTGTTATCAAAAGAAAAGATATGATTCAATTAAAAGTATTTTTTTAACATAAAAAAACAAAATACAAAAAAAATTTATGCCTTTTCTTGCTGTTCTTTCTGCTTTTTGATTAACTCTGATGTAAGAACTGGTTTCTTTCCTTTCTTTCTCTTAGGACGAGGTGGAAGTGGTTGATCAAGTTTAATTTCGTATTTAACTTCATCTTTTTTGGCTTTTTCTTTATGAACAGGTTGTTTTCCATCTTCCTCATTATCGCTAGCTGCATTCTTCTTTGAATCTTTCTTTTCGTCCTTTTTTGGAACAGAATCTGCCCTTTTCTTTCCTTTTCCCTTTCCTTTACCTTTCTTACCCTTACCTTTGCCTGTTGCTGATGGAGTTTCGTCAAACAGATTCAATGTATCTCCTTTGAAAGGAAGATTTTGAACATCAAATTTTCCCTTTTTAATCAATTCTATTTGATTCTCGATGAGTTGTTCATCACTATCGATTTCATCAAATCTTTCGCTAATGAAATTGATCTGTTTGAACCCTTTCGACCTCAATATTTGTAAAATTAAATCTCCATCGACCATTTCATTCGAAACACTCTTTCTATAACGTATTGATGCTTCAAGGTCTAAAATAAATTTAGAAAACCAGTCAGAAACGTCATCTTGGTACTGAGATGAAAGAATTGCTTTTGTAAGGAAGTATCCAGCACTCTTTCTCCATAATTCATGCGTAACTAACAAGTTTGAAAGCAGTTTGATGGACGTAAGTGATGCTTTCTTCTCAAAAAGTCTCATTGGCAAAATTAAAATCTCAAAATCGCTTGTTGAGAACAAGCCTTGCTTATATTTGGACTTTATAACCTCGGATAGGTCAATAGAATTCAAATAATACTTAGTAATGAACTTAATTATCATTTGATTTCCAGGATGTCCGTTTTTGATGTTGTTTAAGAGGGTATTAAGTCTCCTTCCTATTATTTCAGGTGTTTGACGTGATAATGTGGCCTTGTCAAGCAGTAATAACAAGCGGATAAAAGGAATAGAATTATTCATCGGAGAATCAGTGATTAAACCAACTAATTTGATGCGCAAGAAGTTAATCATGGGGTCAACAAGTACAATACTGTTAATATGCTTCGTTATCATGTCAACTAAAAGATCTGCAATCATTAATCGAATTTCCCAATAGGAATCATCGTAAGCACCGATCTGGTATACTAAATAGGTACAGTACATGTCAAAAAACTTCTCAGGAGAACCTCTTTCGTTATGAAAATCTTGATATAAATTTGAATTTGAAAATTTCAGCTCAGAAATGATCCTAACCAGTGTCATTGGGTCTTGTATTAGCTTTGAGAGTGTAACTAAGTAGAATTCGCTGTAAGGAGGTTTAGAATAAGCTTTCAAAAATGGAATGTAGTCTTTTGGAGACTTTGGATTAAGAATTGATGAGTATTTAGATAATGTATTGATGGATTGTTCAAAATCACTTTCAAAATCAACAGTTTCGTTTGTAATTTTGAAAATAATTTCGCAAATAAATTTAAAATATTTTTCTTCTGTAGAATTTTCGAGTTGAGTACACAAATATAAAACAGGGAACATGTTTTTAAGCATTGGAAGTAAATAATTTTGTTCATTGAGTTTTGCAAGTTCAAATGCTTTTTTGTAGTAAGAAATCAACTCAACTTCTTTAAATTTGGAGATGTTGCCTATTAAATTGGTTGTTTTAATGATTGTTTCGAAATTTTGAGTTTCAAAACCTGAATTTATTATGTTTATTATAATTTCCTTGTAAGAATCGAAGTTTTTATCAGTAAGGATGTTTGTAATTTGGATCATTATTGATAAAGATAAGTCGATTTTCTCTTTGTAAGAATTGTTAACAAATTCTTGCAATTCAGTCCATGAAAGAAGTTTGTTTGATAAAATAGGAAATATTATTTCAACAATATCTGTTTTAATAATGTTAGGAACTTCTTCAATTTGAAAAATTTGAATAATCCTGTTTAAAATGTAATTAAAGTAATTTGATTGTGCAATTTCATTGTAGTATTTCTCTATTAACTGTCTAAGAAAGTTTATTTCCACTCGTCCAACAGTTGGATCATTTTCTGTTTTTAATTCATCAAAACAGATGTCAATATTATCCTTTTTAGATAGTATCTGATTAGAATTATCGAAAATTACTGTTTCATTCTGATTCTTCTGTAGAGTTTCAACACATAATTCTCGAATTTTCATATAAAAAATGTAAATTATTCAATTTTTTAAAAATTTTTGGACAATAAATCACTATTACCACTGGCTAATTCCCAAATTCAATTAATACAGTTTTGGCCAAATCTTATGTTCAAGTGGAGGTACCGCCCATTTTTCTTCATTAATCGTCTCAAATATCAGAAAATTTAAATTTCATGTTTCCAATTCCTTCGTTGTTTGTTGATCAAAATATATACTACCAGTGGTTTAAAACAGACTTATTTTCAAAAGTATATGCTCCAATATTTCATTTTTTCATAATGAATTACTTTAGGATTCATATTTAGAATCATTTTACATATTATTTCTCTTATTTACCTTATTTTAGTGAGAATTAATGATTATATGTACATTAAAAGTAATTGATAATGAAATATCTGGTTTATTTGATTACAGAATCTGTTCAATCCAAAGCAACACCATTAATGAAAGTATAACAGGTATTAAATATTTGCAAATTTTTCAAATTTCATTAATATTCAAAAGATTCCTGATAAATTGTTTTATAAGTACCAAAATTTAAAACAAATCATATTTCCTCCTAACATAATTGAAATTGGAGATGAAGCATTTTATTGGTGCGAAAATTTAATCGGAACTTTAAATCTTCCTAATGTAAGAAAAATTGGCAATGAATCTTTTATGAGGTGTTCTAACATGATAGGGTTGGCAGATTTTCCATGCATAGAATCAATTGGGAAATATGCATTTTATGATTGCAAAAGCTTAATTGGTAGTATAAATCTTCCTAATGCTAAAGATATCGGAGGGGCAGCATTTTATAATTGTATCGGTTTAAACGGGACTTTATTTGTGCCTAATATGCAGATTATTAATTCAATGACATTTCAAGCATGCAGGTCTTTGACCGGATCATTAAATCTCCCTTTAGTAGAATCCGTGGGTTCTGGCGCTTTTTCTTCCTGCGGAGATTTAGATGGTTATTTTCAAATTCCAAATCTTAGATTTATTGGACGGGATGCATTTAGCGGTTGCTCCAAAATGAAAGGACCAATAAATTTTACTAAATTAGAATCACTTGATGATGGCGCATTTTGTTATTGCCACCATTTGGAAGAATTAGTTAGTATTGGTAGTGTGAATTCAATAAATTCATCAGTTTTTTGTTATTGTTATAAGTTGAAAGGATCCTTTTCCAAATATGTATTTAGATCCATTGGCTCGTTCGCTTTTCACAGTTGTTTTGAAATGATTGGAATTCTTGATTGCAGAAATTTGATTTCAATTGAGTCACGTTCATTTTATAGATGTGGTATTGAAAGTATTATCAACACAGATAGAATTGAAATAATTAATGGCTGGTCTTTTTATAATTGTTCAAACTTATCAGGATTTATAAAATTATGCAATGTAAAAGTAATTGGTAAAGAGGCATTTAATAATGTTACAAAAATTACAGATATCATATTATTGGATTCTAATATTACAATTGGATCTAATGCATTTCATCCAAGCATTAATATAACAATTCAACACCCATTGAACATTTCACGAGATGCTATTACTGACTATGAAAACAAAAACTTTAGCGTTTTTTACTTAGGTCTCCGCGATTCACAATATAGTTCTAATCAAACTATATACGAATATGCCAAAGTTATATTTGTTGTATGTGCGTATAAAAAGAAAACATTTTTTGGGCAAAAAGTTTATAAACCATGCATTATTGATGAATTTTCCTCAACTGGATATTCATTTATCTTCAATTTTTCTGTTTTAAACATGATTATTTCACTTTAGTAAATAATATCTAAAATACAATCGCATGTATATTATATCGTCCAGAATAATTACGATGCTGTCCTATTCAGATTGTAATCTAATTTTTCTATTATTCTTAGACTGTTTCTTCATATAATTAATATGCTTGATACCATTCAAAGAATATGAAATCATTTGCAGTAATCATATTATCAACCAGATTAGATGACGACTAATGTGATACTATGATTCAATTATAATATATGGACATCAGACTTTCTTTATATCGCCTATGCATAACTCTTATTTTAAACAATTAATTTTTACATGGTATAATAACAAAACAAAAAATATTATTATTTGATAGAAGGTTTCAATTTTGATAATGAATATTTTTTCTCAAGCATCCTTACTTCTTTAGAAGAAGATGGATCTGGAATGTGAGGAAGGGGAAATGAAAGAGATATTCTGTCTTCTATTTTAGATCGATCTGATTCAAGCGTTTTAATATTTCGAGTTCGATGATGAATAACTTTTGATTCTTGATGTTTTGGTGATGAATTAATTTGGTTTTGCTCAATAAAATTGACTTTCATTGGTTTTCGTTTAATTTTCTTTGATCGAAGGATTGATTTTTCTGATTCCTCGATAGTTCGATAGTAATATCGGAACAATTCGTATTTGTTGAATGAATAAATTTCGAAGTTTTCTTCAAAAACATGTGAAAATGTATTTTCTGGATTGTCATGATCAAAAAGTTTCCAACAACGAACAATATCAATGTATTTCTGCGGTGACAAAGAACCTGTTTCAAGAAGTGTTGAAATATCAAACAAAGGAAATGGAATGATATGAAAATTCTTAGAAATAATTTCAGCAATAAGTTTTTCAACAGTTTCTAATTTCATTTGTGATCCATCAACAATTACATATTGCAAATGTTCCATAGATAATTTAAGCTGTGGAATCATCAAAAGACATTCTTCTGGAATAGAATTAAAACTAACATCAATATATTCAACATTTTCAAGATGTGTTAAACTGTTAAGAATAATATTCGTTTCAAATCCTAATTCACAATTAGACATGATAAATTGTTTCAAATTAACTAAATAGATGATGTTGATTGATAAATCACGAATAGTTGTTGGAATATCACTAATAATACATGACTTTAATGATAATACTTGTAAATGGAATAAAGTTTTCATAAATATAATAAATTGTGGAGTAATTTTATTGTTTTCCCATATAAATGTGTGAAAATTCTCTCCTGATGATGTTTCAAAGATTTTATTTGTTGAGTTCCAATCATCTGAACTAATTTTAATTGAACAAACAGAAAGTCGAAACTTTGGAATTCCAAATGATATCAATTTCGCAAAAAAAGATGGGAAAACACTTGGACCCCATTTGATATCATTTATCAATAGTGTTGTAAGTGTTTTAGGTAAATCATATTCATGATATTTAAAACATTGATTGTGATTCAAATTCAATGATCTCAATGAAACCTTAGAACAACTTGTTATTGCATTAATAGTATCAATGACATCTAATTGACATCCTGATAATGATAATTTGTTTAATTTTGGCATTTTATTAAGAAATGATTTGATATTTAATCCTAAAGTATTATCAAGAGTTAACATAGTTATTGTTGATCCTAATGATGGTAAAAATGATGTTTGTAACTTTAATATTGAGCTCTGTTCAATGGCATTGTGGAAACCAAGAGAATGCATCTTTGTATTTAAATATGCTTGTGATAATAAATCTAGTTCTTCTTCACCAAGTGATGTATTGATAAATGTTAATCCTGTAAGAAAATGATTTTGGAATTTACAAAGAATATCCATAGCTGTATTAAATTCATATGAAAATGGTACTGAATCAATTGTAATATGTGAAAACTTTCCTTCGCATGCAATTAAATCAGAAAATATTTTATAGCCTGGATAATCATTGTTTCCATTAATAATCACTTCATTTATCAATGGCGACATTTGTAATGTATTAATAATCAAAGGAATAGTATTTGAAGAGTATTCTGTTATGTTTATTTGATGTTTTTTGAGCATTAAAGATAATTTAAATTTTTGAATGTCATTATCAGGTATTTCGATATGTTGTAATGAACGAATATGCATAAACTTTGCAAATATTGATCGAGGAGAAGGAATATGCTCAGGAAAATGATTTCTTGAAAAATTGAGCTTGATTTGTTCATCGTTAGTAAAGAGTTGCTGTATCACGTAATTAATTGCTAAAGGTACTTCATTTTTATCTTTATAAGTAAAGTGAAATAAGATTTCGGTATTGAAGAGAAGTTTACACTCATTCTCATCAAACTGATCAATGTGAGCAAGTTCAAACCATACACCACATCTAAGTATTTCGACTTGACTCTTCTTGATATCAAAATAAACGATTTCGTTATCCGTTATTGCGAGTTTTCGCTGACTTTTACCTCCATGGTCATGTATCTTCGTAACTTCAGTAATTAGTATCACATCTTCTCCTCGCTGATGAAAAAACTCTTTCACTTCTTGATTTCCTTGCATTTGACAATAGAAAGTTTTGAGAATGTATCGGATGTAAGAATTTCAAATACACCTCAAATCCGAAAACATCATAGAATAAAGGAGAATTCTTAAATAACAAAAATTGATGCGAAGACCTTTCCTGTCGTAGTTGGTAATCGAAATCGAACTACGGAATTCGTTTTAGGAAGACAATATACCAAAAGTTGATTTACAATTCAATAGTTGATGCATAATGCAATAAGCATCATTATTAAATTCCTTCAAATTAAAAATTATTTCAACAGATGTGCAATATTTTTGATGTTAAGTTATACAAAATTATTTAGTATCACATCCTAGGCCTTAATGAACAGATGGCATCTATCATTATACAGAATGATCAAATTCAATGCAATAAGTCATAGTGTTGTTCAAATATAGAATAACATTCAAATCAAGATAAGTAATCAGAACCAATATTAAGCTAAATAACAATCCATTACACGAATCTCTGAAATCCATCCGTTTTCAATTTCCAGATGTCTGGATCGAGTTTCTTAGATAACTCGAACTTTGGAAGTTCATTCCTCAACGGAATCGAAGACATCGGACTTGGTGGTGTCGGTCCACCAAAGAAAGCTAAGCCAAAAGTTGAAGAAAAGAAACCTCCACCAAAATCTACTTCATCTAATACTACAACAAAGAAATCAAACGATACAAAAGGCGATAACAAAGGAAGTAAAACTACATCATCAAAACCAGGCGGTCCAAAACGTGGGCCACGTGCTCCTTTAATGAATTTAGGTGATTTAACATCAATTTTACCTCCAGCGACAACACCAATAATATCACCAATTCAGAAATCAACTGCAGATCCATTTCAAATACCAAATACATCACCTAATTCAACTCTTTACAATCCAATTCAAATTCATCAAATGCCACAGACTCCTCCCATATTGACCATGATAGAAAATAGGCTAACAAGCTCTCTCCAAGCGTCATTAAAGAATTTAGCTGCAGAATTTATACAGACACTTCCAACTCTTTTCCCTGATGACGATTTAGTATCGCAAGCAGTAACTTCATGTGTATCAGACCTTCAGGACAAGATCAGATCCATTATTACCTTCAATGTCGAACAAAATCCCAATACAAATAACGTTAATTCGATTTTTGCTTCATATGCTCCATTATTCCGTGATTTATACTTCGAAGCTGAAAAAGCAAAAGGCAAAGATTACTCTGTTTTCGATAATTCCATTAGAGAAGCAAGAGCATCAGCAAATTCAGCTTCCACAGCCTTTCAGACACAAATACAAGAAGGACTTGATGAATTTACAGCATTAATAAATGATCTGAACTACTCTAGAATGAATTACGAGACTGCAGCAAGATCATATCAAAAAAATCATTCTCATCTGCTTGAAACATACAATACATTAGAAATCAGAAAGGCAGAACTTGATGCCGATGCCGAAATCATTGAAATGAAGAAGAGACATCTTGAATCTGAACAAGATAAAAATAATACAACGGCAGAGATCGATATTACCGATCTTGCATCAATTGCAAGAGAATCTTTGGACACAATAAAGTCAAGTCTATCAGCAGATGACATTTCTCAGCAAGTTAGTCGAACTTCTTATAATATTGAATCAATTTGTGACGAAATCAACCAAATGAGACATATTAAGTATTACCAGATGCAAGACTTCCAAGATCAGATTACAATGGCCACTTCTGTCACTTATACTTACAATACTCAACGACAAATCGCTGATGACACAGCAATTCCTGCCATTGAGTCATCCGTTATTGAAGAAGATAACGCATCTGTAACGCCAAGCCAAGAATTAAAGAAAAAATTGAGATCAATTTCAATAGCCCGAAGAGAATCGCTTCAGAAGGCCACTGACTTCATGGATAACGTAAGGAGAGGTGAAAGAAGAAGATCTAGGAAACAAGTTACCGATATATCCCTTCTAAGTTCTGTATAATTATATTATTTTTTTGTTTGTATATAAAAATATTGTTTTGATTTTGATATTTGCTATTAACATCACAAAGACATATAGAAAACCGTAATAGCTATTGTAGGAAATAAAATTGATGCAATTCTGTCAGATATTTCAGAAAATGATGCAAATAAATAGGTCAAATCCAATACATATCAAATGCTCTTTACATTGTCAAAGATTATATAGTATATATCTAATAAAATTAAATTGTTGTTAAAATTTATCTGGTTAACAAAGAATTGATGGAAAATATGGAGTATGTTAGTGTATACCAGCCAGATTCAGATAAGGAGAAGGAAGGATACTGTAAATTTAGAGGGGCATCACTTTTTTTTTGCAGAAGTGCCGCCACGCCCAAACTTTGATATCATTGTCCCAGACTTTACTACGAAAATCTAGTCCTATAGGTGACAATAAAAGTCTACCAAATGATCCCCTTATTTGCTTCACCCCAAAATAATATTTGCGATTTCAACGACAAAAGATAAAATACCCAATATGACGAATGAATAAGTACTACTAGCATAACCTAATTATTGACAACAGTTTGAATTTCCTATTTATTCAAAATTTGTAAAATTTCTATCTCAAATAAGATCAATTAAGCGATATAGTATACTTGAATTATGATAATTATGTTTTACATCCATAGTAGATTACCATTACTGACTATTTTTTAGACAGGATCAAAATTTTCAAATAATGAAAAATGAATATTTATATTCTAACTTATATAGCATGCTGATTTGCTTTTTATGCAATCAAAAGATTCATATCTCTTATAGCCTACTCATTTAATAAAAATAATTTTTGAAATTTTATGTTTCTATAATTTACTGCTTCAATAAAGCTCAGTAATGAGCACTATTGATTCATCTATTAAGTCTTTTATATTTTGCAATTATTAAGGAATAACAAATAATTTTTGATCAATTAGCGAATATAGCATGAATTAAGCTTAGTAAACATCATACAATCTGAATTCGGATATTAGTATCTAGATTACGATGGTTAATGTGAAAGATAACCGTATCATTTTTTAAACTATCTTTGAAAACTATGGAAAATTCTCGCATTATAGTATTTACTGAATGTATGAAGTTGATTGTCTAATTGTCAATATAATTGTCATATTGATTAGATAAAAAATATTGGAAATCTTTTGCAATGAGCATTTTTGTAGTAAAATATATTGCTTTTACAAAATAATATTCATGTATTCTTACTTACAAACTCAAAACTCAGGATGATTATATAGAAAAATAAAAATTTGTTAGTAATCAAACAAAATATTGATAGTGCTGCTTCAAAGAAATTCAATGAAATCTAACGTGTCCATATTGAATTATTTCGACTTCTCTTTATGAAATTCGTTTATAACATATTATCAGGATGCTGAAAAAGTGAGAGTGTCAAATATTTAAGGTTCTTTTTTGAGAACAACCGCTAAATAAAAAATACAAATAAACGACACATTTGGCATCTATGATATATAACAAAACTATTTTCCCATATATTTTGAGCAAAAAACTCAAAATTGAGAGTGGAAGCACTTCTTTTTTTGCCAATGAATGTGAGCACCTATATCTGAAACGCATACTTCCAGCCATTCTTGAGAGCTGTCTTTTTGGCAAACGGAGTTTATTTGCACCATGACGCTAGATGTTAAAGAAGATCGATGATTTTACGATTTTAATTATTAATATTTCCAATATCTTCTTCACTAAATTGCAAATTTATCAATATTCTTTAACATCTCGCGTCATGGTGCAAATAAACTCCGTTTGCCAAAAAGACAGCTCCCAAGAATGGCTGGAAGTATATGTTTCAGATTTTGGTGCTCATATTCATGGTGAAAAAAAGTGATGCAGTTTGAAATCAAACATCAAAAGATGAATTCTAATCTATGTATTTCAAGGTCCATATTCATCAGAGGAGATAAATTTTACGTTTTCTGCTATGAATGTAATCAGAGATTCGCTAGTTTATTAAAAATTGTTAATATGAAACTAAGAATTTCGATAAAAAACAGTTCCTCTATGGTAATTTTTGGACTAAAAGATATAACATTATTAGTTTTTCAGAAAGCAAGTAATTTATGATTTCAAGTTTAGATTTTTTTGGAGAAATGAAATTTCTTTTCAATTTTTCTTCAAGTTTTCTTGAGTTTTTTTACTTGCAATTAGACAAAAATGGAGTTAACAAGTGAAATTCAGGAAAAAACGAGAGAAGCCTTTGTTGATTACTTAGCTGATCCGTTAGATGAAGGAGATATGATATTAGTTATGAGTGATAAACCAGTTGAAGAAACACACGAAACAGCCATTAATTACTGTAACATTCTTCGCGATCTTAAGAATCCAAATTCTCGAAACAAAACAAGTTTACATCAAAGATTTAACATTGAAAGGTATAATGTCGAAAAACTACAAGCAGAAATTCGAAATCATCTTAAAACAACTAAAGTACAACCAGTTTTAGACGGAATAAAAGTAATTTCGGATTATTTAAATGGAAATAACGAAGTTACAGCAACAATTACATCATTTGGTGTTTTGCTTACATATTTAAATCAATACATGATATTCAAACAGCAGACAGAAGAACTTGTTGTCCAAATTATCAAAAAAGTCGAAGAATTTACGAGCGATGCCCAAGAAATCTTCGGATTACTATTAAAAACAGACGAACCACTTACTGATGAGCAAATTGCCAAGCTTTTACCAACGAATATCACTGATAGAACATTACATATCATAACACCCAGATTAGGAGAGCTTCTTAAGCACAAAGACCTTCAAGATAAGTTCTGCAACACAGACATTATTACAAAAGACCTCGATATCCATTTACTTCTCCCAATATATCTAGATTTGGCCGACCAAGGCGAACAGATCTACAATTTCGCAGTTTCGCTTTCATATGAAGCCCCAATTTCAATCATCAACAGCGCAATCCGAAATTTACTCTCTCCCAAGAATAAAATTAGGCAATGTGCTTTAGATTGTCTTTCAGTCAGTTCCATACAACCAGACGATGTCAACCACAAGCTATTTTGTCTTATCTTCATGCAAGGAGGCACGAATCCTTCCGCCGTTGAGTTATTGAAGAAATTACATCTTAAACGTCCGAGAGTTGACTTAATTTACAGGATGTACAATGATCTGTTCAAATTGAAGAACAAGGATGAATCATTAGTTGAAGATGTTGGTCGATCATTTGCTGTTTTGATGGCGAAAGAAGATCAAGAAGAATTTATCAAATATTTAGTGAATATTTTCGAAAGTAATTCGATAACAAATGTTTCCGATGCAGAAAAACAGTTCCAAAATGATGTTCGAGCATCCGTTTCTTTTGCTTTGTTACAGTTCAAGCCATTAACCGAGGAATGCATGAATTTCATCATAACAACAGGTTTAAGTGACAATAATCCTGTTGTTATTAAGAATTTCAGCGAATTGATAAAGTTTTACATCGAAAACTTCGAAGAAGATGAAAGGAATCTACTTTATAACAAGATGTATACTATTTTGAATCTTCCTCCTTTGGATATTGAATCAAACATCCAATTGAGATTGAGTTTGATTGAATTATGTTTGCAAATTGTTCTTGATGACAAGGATTCGATTTATGATTTCGTTTTTATGCTAATTTCTCAAAATTTAAGGTCAAATGATGAAAGACTTAAAACTACAAGTTGCAAAGCTATTTCTAGTATATGTAAGAAATATCCTGAAGTTGTTGATTTCTATTTACCTCAAGTTGTTCAAATTCTTCCGAAATTGACAACAAAAGAAAAAATTGAATCTTATTCTTACGCTTATTCTTCTTTTGTTCATTCTCTTGGTATCACAGGATTGAATACAAAACAAGTGTTTGAGTTCACACATTCACTTGCTATTTCTTCTGATCAATCTGTTAGAGAGATCTTCGGTTTCGTTGTTATCTCTCTTTCTAGTTTATTTAAAGGTTTGTTGGAACCGAGTTTGCCAAAATTTTTATCTGATTTGTTTAAATTGACAGGAGATTCGAAACAAAACGTGAGAGAATCAGCAGATTCATGTCTTGAAGTTGTTACTTCCAATTTAACAAAGGCTTGTTCTGAAAGAGCTCTTCCTATTGCAATTAAATTTGCTTCAGATGATAATTCATGGAAATCTCAATACAAAGCAATTAATTTTATTAACAATTTGTTTAAGAAAGGAACAAAAAACATGCATCGATATATATTCGATATTGTTAGTTCTATATCTCTTTCTGTTAAGTCTGCATCAACTGATGTAAAGAAAGCCAGTTCTGAAACATTTGAATACATTAAATCATTGATAACAAATGAAAGTGTTTCAAAAATTTTCGAATCTCTTGTTGAAAGTTTAATTAGCCAAAGTAATGTAGATAACGCTTTAGAGAAATTGATGCATATGAACTTGGACAGTAAATTAGATGTTGATTCATTATCATTGATTGTTCCTGTTTTAATTAATGGTTGTAGAACAAATTCCAATGAAACAAAATTAAATTCATTGAAAATTATTACGAATCTTCCACAGATTTCTGTTGATGGATCATTGAAAGTATTCTCTGATCAATTAGTTCCTTCCGTCTACCAATTGATCTCTGATGCAAATCCGAATACTCGTGCTTTGGCTTCGAGTTGTTTATCTAAATTAATTGTCAAATTTAATACAAGTGTTTATGACAATGTAATGAATCAATTGATCAATGAAATGATCAGTAAGAACAGTTTCTCTGAGAGACAAGGTTGTGCAATGACAATTGCTTCGCTTATTAAAACAAGAGGTGTTGAAGAACTCAATAAACAATTGCTTGATTTCATTGAAAAAGCGAGAAACGACAAAAACATACAAGTTAGAGAATGTTATGTTTCTCTTTTAGGTTTCTTGAGTCATTTCTTTGGCGCTGAAGAATTTAGTTCATGTTATGATATAACTATTGATGCTGTTCTTGAAGCATGTTCAGATACAAGTGATGTAATAAGAACTGTTGGATTAAGAAGTGTTTCTTTGATTGCAAAAACATTTGCACAATCAAAACCTGATTTAATTATCAATCCATTTAATAACTGTGCATTGAAAGATAACTGGAGATACAGATTGTGCGCTGTTCATTTCCTTAAATCATTTGTTAGTGCATGCTTAGGAACATCGGAAGCAGATGACAGAGGAATAAGAAACATCGGAGAACTGTTGACACAAATAGAAAAATCTCTTCAACCTGATATTTGTGCACAAACATTAGTTACATTGTTTATTTTGTGTAGCGATCCTGTTTCAACAGTAAAACAAGAAGCAATGAGTGTTTGGAGACAAATTGTGCCAAATACTGGTGGTTATCTTCGTGAACACGTTGAAACATATATAGATACTGTTACTTTGTTTGTTACAAGTGATAGAGAAGTTGTTAGAACAGTTGGTGCCCTTTCAATGAAAGAATTTGTCCACAAAGTTGGTGGTCAAAGTTTAATTTCTCTCGTTGAAAAACTTGAAGAACTTATTAAAATTGAAGATATCGATATCGAACATGGTGTTTTACTTTGTATACATACATTGGGCGAAGACATGGATTACGATATCAAACTTCGAAGTTTGCAAGTCATTGCGCCATTCATGAGTTCTCCTTATGAAATTGTTCGTCTTGAAAGTTTAGGAACTTTCTCTGATTTCAAGAAATCTCTTGGAGATGTTGGAACAAGAACAATCTGCAGCAAACTCGTTGATTTCGTTTATTCAGAGTCACAAACTAAAGAAGATATCAGTGACTTGAAAGGTTTAATCAACAGTTTGGACAGAACATCATTAAACCAACTCGTCATGAAGATTTTACAACGTCCTTTGAACGAACAATCATCAAGTATTGGTGGAAAAATCATTTCCATCAGTGAAGATGCCTTAGATCCAATCTTTTCGATATTTGTTGAAAGAATTTTTGGTATATGTGTTGAGAAATGCGAAGGAGAAGAAGAAAATGTCTCGTTAAACATGTCAGAGAACATAATAAATCATTGCAACAAACAACATCTGAAAATATTTGTTCAGAAGTTGTTGACAACATTAAGAAGCCCTCAACCAGAAGAAAGATATCCATCAATGTCATTATTGAAGAGCGTGATCGAGAATCATGATTACGACAAAGAGATCTTCGAAAGCATCATTCGAGGAACAATTTATGTCCTTGATGATCCCGTTGACAGTTTGATGAACATGTCAATAGAAACAATCAAAATTGTTTGTGACAGAGCTGTTGAAAAACGAAAAGAAGAAGAACTAATAGATATTTCTTTCTTCTTATCAGATACATTAGAACAGATTGGTTCATCCAGTCAATTACGTGCTTTCGAATATGAATATTCATTCGAATACATCTATCAGTTCATCATCGAATGTCTTTGCAGTTCATCGGAGAATTCAGTTTTGAACACAGGAAAACTACTTAAATGTATCATTCCTCAACTAAAGAATCGACCGAAATACACTCGAAATCTCATGTCAAAGATCATTTTCGCGTCACAGATAACACAGAACACAGATATCACACAAGTTCTATTAGAAGCAAGTCGTTGTTTGTTCAAGTTCTGCAATGATGATCGTGATCTCATGATCAACTCATTTGCAAGCACTTTTATCAAATTGTTCAAAGAAAACAACACGACACTTCAAGAATTTGTTAGTGACACATTCTGTTTGTATGCAAACAAGATCTCTACACCAGATATTGTTATCAAGATCTTCCTTATGATTTTGAAACAACAAGGAAAACAAATTTCATCAATCATCATTAAATCATTGATCAAAATCATTTCGAACAAGAACATCAGTCAAAACATTTGTGATTCAATCATCGAAGTCATTGGACACAGTATCCATACAGGAACAATCCAGATGGTCAAGATCAAGTCAGAGTTGATTGCAAAAGCACTTATTTCGGCTGGTGAAATGTCAACACTTAATTTCATCAACTACAGAGGTTCATTCGACATCAACCGCGACGACATGAAGATTTCATGCATCACAATCATGACTGAGATTGTCAACAGCAACAAGACGAACATCATCGACATCATCTTCAACGAGTTCATGAACTTGATCTCAAAGATCGATCGCGAGCGAAGTAAAGATGCCAAGATGTTGTATCCGAAACTTATTGTTTCAATGATCATGGTTAAGAACGAAATTTGTTCAGATATGATGCCACACATCATCAACATGATTGAGAAAGAAGATTCGGAAATCAGAGTCGAAACAATCCAGAACATCCAGAGTTTCGCTTCTCTTGATACAGATGTTTTCGACAAGATACAAGAAACAGTTCTGAAAACACTTGTCAATTCATATCGAACAGGAGACATGGCTGTTAAATTTGCATCATCAAACACATTGTTTGTTTTGTTCAAATTAGAAGAACTTACACAACCACAGTTACAGAAGCTCGCAGAAGTTGTTGGTGATGTTGAACGAACCAAGAATGACTTCAACGAAATCATCAAACAATCACAGTCAGATAGAAACAACAAAAAGATAAGAAGATAAAAAATTTTTTGTTTATTTTACATTTATTAAAATAGTTAATATGTTAAATATCTCAATGTTATCTCTTTTTTTGATTCCATATATTTCAGTTGGAATACATGGATTAACTACAGGTCTTCCATAGAATGTCTTCTTTGTATATTCACAAACAACATAAATCCTTTTTGCAAATGGATATATTGTTTGTGAGACTATTTTATTTGTATCGTTGATTCCTAAATAATAAATATAGAAATCACTTTTATAAAAGTTCATAATAATATTAGAATTTAAATTTATAGGGTATAAAATTGTCAAATTAATAGTTGGATCAAAAACATTTGGTGCAATTGTTATATTGGATTCAAATAAAATTATACTTGTAATATTTTTGTCATCGATAAATGCTTTTTCTTTAATAGATGTTACATTATTTAATTCTATATTTCCAGATAATTTTGTACAGTTATTAAATGCATATTCGCCAATAAAGGAAACATTCTTTATATGAATACTTTTCAAATTGAAACAGTTTCTAAATGCAAATCGATCTATTGTATTAATACTTTCGGTGTTTGCAAGACTTTCGATACCACAATAACAAAAGGAAAACTCTCTAATTGAAACAAGTTTCCTGCAATCAAGAGTCCCTGTCATTTTATAACAATTTTGAAACGCACTTATTCCGATGGATTCCAAGATAATATTATCGAAATAACCTCTCATTTTATAGCAATTAGTAAATACATGATTTGAAATAAATGAAACCCTACCAATACTTACAAATTCATCTAAGTTCCGACATTCATAAAATGCATCACTACTAATTGATTCTAATTTAGGAAAATTGATTGTTCCTGCCAATTTATGACAATGAGTGAATGCCATTGCTCCGATTTTTTTCACATTTGGAAGATATATTGTTCCATTTAGGCTGTAACACCAATAAAATGCAGTATTACCAATTGATTCTACTCTGGGAAAATATATTAATCCTGTCAATTTATTGCAGTTATAAAATGCACCATCTCCAATTGAATTTGCATTAGGAATATTTATTGTTCCATTTAAATTCCTACAACCGTCAAATATTCCTCCATTAATAGATTCTAAATATGGAAGATTAATTGATCCTGTTAATAGAGTGCAATCTAAAAATGTACATGGGCCAATGAACCTCACACTCAGGATGTTGAGGGTTCCTATCAGATTTGAGCAATATTGAAACGCTCTTTCACCAATTTCGGTAATATTAGGTGGGAATATAATTTGGGTTAGATTTTTATGACTATCAAACAATCTGTCCGGAATTTTTTCAATTTTAATGAAATTAGATAAATTTGCAATATTAATACGATCTGGTAAATTTGTAATTCCAATAATTGTTTCATTAATTTCATCACTTTGTATTGAACATATCTCAGTATCATATATGCCTGAAATACAATTATTTTTTACCTTTAACCTACATATTGACAATTTTAAGATTTAAAAAGAAAAAGGTTTTAATTAACAATAAATCTCGCTGAGCATAGCCATTCATGCTGATATTCATTTTATATAGTTAAATATTAATATATATATATATAATCAGTCAATCAGGATTTCAAAGCATTAATTCATCATTAAACATGCTTTAATATTATCAAACAATGATATTTGTTCTTGAGATGCGAATATATATAGGATATCTTCTGAAAACAAGTTTATATATGAAGAATTGAAATTTGAACCTTATCAGAATAATTCAATTTTTTGAGATGGAATTCAAATTAAACAATATAAATTTTAAATACTAACAAAATAAAAATATAAATAAAACAATCTATCTAAATAGGAGTTCCATTGACTGTGTACTGAGCAATTTTGTCGTTCTGTTTTGTAACACGAAGAACCATTTCGTGTCTCTTGAAAGACAAAATTTTTGCGTTTGGTTCTGGAATGACAGAAATAGTTCTTCCAGTAGACAAATTCCATACAATTACGAAATCTCTGAACGCCGTCGCGCAGCAGTTTATTCTGAATGAAATTGCAGAGTGTAGAGTTCCTGCTCTGTAGAAAGCACCGAGAGGCTGCATGTTCTGCAACAAAATTGTCATAACTCTGTTGTTGTAAGTTATTGCCAATGCATATCCATCACTTGAATAAGTGTGTAATTGTGGATTTGCTACCTTTAATTTGTAGATGTCATCAACAATGATTTCTTCCGTTTCTTGATTAACATCTATTTTACTTTTTTCGAGGCAGTTCAAGTCACTTGGTTCTTTAATAGAAGTCTTCAATTTGTTGAAGAAAACTTGTTTTGGAACACATCCAGAAGTGTATCTCCAAGAAAAGTTTTCGTCATCATAAGAATTCGGATGGAAAGTGTTCATCAAAGCAAGAGATCTTTCTCCTCTTGAATCAACACCGAAAACTAAATCAAGCCATGAACAAATGTTGTTTGAAACACCTTCAAGATTAATTCGATTCCAGCGAACAAAATTTCTTGAATCTTCAATTTTTGGTGGGAATTTGACTTCAACGAGTTTTCCATCGATTTTTATTTGGTTTTTATTGTCAAGGAGTTCGTAGAAACAATATATCTCTGGAAATGCTTCGTATATAGTCTTTGAAGTCACATTTAATTGGTTCTCGACATTAACAAAAATTCTTGACATCGCATCCCATTTTCCATTGAAGAAAAACTGGCTTTCTGAATAAGGAGGATATCTAAACAAACAACTAGAAATATACTGTGGATTCGACAAATTCTCTGCATGATGATATTTCTGAACTTCATAACGTGCTTGGAAAAGTGACTTAGATTTTTCAAATTCAGCACACAATTGAATAGGAATTTTCAAATCTCTGAAACTGATTCCATTCATATTCATTGATACTTTAGGAAATATCGGGTAACAAGACATGTCTGAATAAGATCTTTCTGCAGCAACATTTACGACATTCAGGAATTCTAGGACAGACATTTCGCCATTTGAAAATTTTTCCAAATAATTGGAAATGTCAAGTTTTACAGTTGGAATAAAACCGTTTTCTAAAAATTCTATGATGAAATTTCCGGAATTTCTTGAAAACACTTGGACACCTTTGTGGTAAGGTAAAATAAGAGAAAACTCTGGATCAACAATCAAACAAGGAAATCCACAAATAGTAGTAAAAGGTCCGAAACCTCCGTCAAAAATGATTTTTTCCATTTCAGAATATTCAAAAGAACTGTCGAGAAAAGCAACAACGTTTTCATCGAATCTCGTGTTCAGAAGAATGTAATAGAGCTTGGAATCACTAAATATAATAGAGTTAATGTGTGCAAATGCATAAGTAAAGACACAATTCGTGCAAGAATTGAATTTGTAGATGTTTTGTAAAATTTTAATTTCATTGTCACTGTAACTTATTGAATACTTGTTTTCCAGTCTGTAAATATATTTAGGTTCTGAATCTTTGAACTTATATATCTTTGATATTTCATTCTTGTCACTTTTTGTAATCATGTCACTTTTCGTATATTTGTCACTTTTTAGTTTTTGATTTTCAGAATTTTCCAAATTTTCTGGTTTAGAAATCTTAGAATCAGAAAATTTGGTATTTTTCGGATTTTGATTTTCAAAATTTTCGGAATTAATATTTTCAGGATTTGAATATTTGGAAGTTTCTGATTTTTGGGAATTTGGATTTTCCGAAATTTCAGTTTTAGAATTTTCAGGAATTAAAGATTTTGAATTTTCTTGATTTTCATTTTCTGGATTTTCTGTTTTAGAAATTTCTGATTTTTCATTTTTGACATTTTCTGACACGTAAACTTCAGAATTTTTAGATTTTTCATTGCTAAACTGCAAATCTATTTCTGATGGAATCAAAACAATAGGAGTCATAGAAATTCCGTGGAAAGGAGATATTCTGAATGATTTTGTTTTACTGACGAAATCCTCGTAATTCATATTCTGAGACAATGAAATTTGTTTTGTCATCATCACGACTGAATCAAGCATTTCTTTCCTTCTTATGTGTTCATCAATTTTTTGGAACAAAAAATCTTTTGATTTCTTGTGAATCATGAAATTTCTTTCGAAAAATATGAACAAAACAGCTTTCGTCTGCAAAAAGTTATCTTCTGTCAAAGTGAACATGTTCTTCTCTATGAATTCTTCGTATTTCTCTTTGTTCTGGTTGAAAACAGAGTCAAATTCAACGAAAGAATTCGATTTCGTGTCTAGTTCAGAAACTTTTTCGAAAGAAAACATGTCTTGGAAGAAATTCAGCTGCATCTTTAAGCAAACTCTCTTAACATTCTCATAGAACTCATTAATAAAAGGTAGTTCAAGAGGAATTCCACATTTCACAATTCGTGATAAAACAAAAAGTGACCATTTCAATTTTGTCACATCTTTGACGACAAAAATTTTTGTAATTATCTCCAAGAACTGTTCAATTATTTCAGGAGATATGTCATTGAGAGTCAACAGGAACCAATGAATGAAATTCTGGTTACTTTCCGCTTCTTTTTTGATGATAGGAAGAGAAGAACTATAAATGTTGTCTCCTGAATAAACTTCCGGTCTTTTCAACGTCAAATATATCAAAGATCGACATAAAACACGTGAAAACGTGCTGTTTATGCGTTTGTTGTGGAAGTTAAACAACAAATTCTGTATAACATACGAAACAATACTCGGATGTCCAAATTGACAGATAACAAGTATCATTTGTTCAGGGTTACTGCATTTTAACACGATGTTTGTTATCAAATTGGTCAGTTTCGATGTTTTATCATGGTTAAAACGCATTTTTTCTTTGATTATATTCAAATTCGTCTTGGAAATGAAAGTTTTGAATGTTTTCTCCATGATATTGGCTATTTCTTTGTCCATTCCTTCGATAATTGGCAGCAAACTTGTGTCTGTGTTCTCTTTTGACAAAATTAAATCTAAAAAATAGGGAACAAACTTGGATTGCATGTAGATATCGGGTAGCTCTAGTAATAATGGTGTAACATTTTGTAATATAATGTCAAAGAAGGTGGTTATCGTATCAGAAAAATAAAATGGAATTAGCATCTCGAGAATTAGGGTTAAATAGGCTGGTTTGAGGACAGATAGTTTGACATTTGATCTGTCGAATGAAAAGTACTGCCCGGTAACTAATCTGATCACTACTTCCCAAATTATCGCATCGGCTGAGTAATTTCGGAATCCTTTTGCAAGAACGCTCAACATTTTGAATGGCTGTGGGTCATCGTATAATCTCTCTATAAGATTGTAAGCGAAAAGCTTGGAACAAAGCGGATCTGCGTAATAACAAAACTGAAGTAAAGTTTTGACTGATAAACTTGGTATGGAATTCTTAGCATCGAATACTATTTTGAGTAATGAATATTTGTCTTCAATTACGTTTTGAGTTTCGAAAATTTTTTCAATAATTTCTTCCGAATTTTGGCGAAAATCAAAGGAATTTGACACAACAATGGCATTTACGATATCTTTAAAGACTTGTAAATTGTTATATGACTGAACAAATATGTGTATTATGATCAATAACTCGTGATTATAAGATTCATCAAAAGTTAAAGCAAGTAGTAGCATTTTGATGATACCATTCGTATATAAACTATCTATATCTATTTCTTTGATGTGCTTTGTGATCCATTCTTGTAGTTTTACTAATGTAAATTTTATTATTTCGCTGTTCAGTGACCAATAGTCCATATTTGAAAATAATACCGTAATGAACTGTGTTATGCATATGCTCTGCCTTGAATTTTCTATTAAATCAAGGACCGATGGAAAACTCTTTTTAATTCGTTCAGAATCGTATTTCAGAAAGCAATATATTATTGTGTATATCAAATTTTCTGTTTTTACTGCTGGATTTATAAAAAATTGAGAGAATAGTTCGATGGATGGTTTATTTTCTTGTTCGAAAAGAATCATTAAGTAATTTAAGTTGTGCTGATCGCTCAGCAACAGTAAATTATCATATGATTTTGCAATATCGAATATTATTGTTGAAGGACAATGATACGATTGCATGTTTTTTGATTTTGCAAAATCTTACTCGAAAAGTGACGATTTTGACGCCAAAACTAATTCATTTTCTTTATATCTAAAAACACACAAAATTTAAAAGTTTTTCCCTTCAAAAAAATTTCTGATCACAATTCAAAATAATTTTTTTCGACTATTTCAGATCAAAGAGAAATCTTTACACTGTAAAATTATCAAAAACAACAATTATACAAGCAATATGATGATTTTCATTAAGAGATATTAACTATATTCATTCTGTTCATGAAATTTAGATGTGAATTTAAGCATCATTATAAATTTGGAGGCCGCCAGTTATATGGCATGCAAATATTTAAATTTTTAATACATACATTATGTTCTTTACTAGTAAATTTGGCAAAATTAAAGTAATTTCTTATATAATTTTGACTTAAAAAGGATATGAAAGTTAAAATTACATATACATAACATTTATAACAGAAAGATATTATAAACATGAGTAAAATAAAATACAAAACAAATCAAAACAATTTTGCTTTTGATCTAAGGTTAAATTGAGAATTAGATCTCAATCTTGGTAATCCGATTGTCAGTGCTCCTCCTTTCATTTCATATTTCTTAGAAGTGATTGAAAAAGGAGCAGTTAACTGTTCTCCCTGAAAAACAGTGTCTCTGTCAACGTGGTAGAATGAAATCTTCTCTCTTATCAACTGTTGACGTGGTGGTAATGAGAAAAACTTCATTTCTAAGAGCTGATTCAAAAATAATAATCCGCATCTGTTATCCATCGCATCTGCATAGTTCGAACACGAGAAAACTGTATAAACTAAGCCATCAATTGCCTTCTGAACACCATTTTGAACGCATTGGTGTCCTCTAAGCACAGAAGTCAATTTATTCTTATTTAAGTAATCTTCAACGAGATTATATCCGTATGAAATACCTAAACCTCTCGTACTGCGTGCGAAAGTCTTAGTTTCGGTTGTGGGATCGCTCCACATCAAGTCTGCAATTAATTCATCTTCACAGGTTTTGATGGGCCTGATTATCTTTTCTATCTGAGAAATCCCATTCAATCCTGATGACAAACCACCGTGAACACAGAAAATCTTGTTCTGAACAATGGCTGCTATAGGTAACCATTCGAAAGCTTTATTTATCTGATCGTACAGGTATTTACCGTTTTCTAATATTGACATTTCATCGAAGAAGCTATAGACGCTGTTTGTATCTGCAAATTTGTGATTTCCGCGTAAAAGAATTACATCATTTGGGAATTGGCATTGTAAAGCAAATAATAGCATAACAACTTCATATGAGAATTGTCCTCTGTCAACATAATCGCCAAGAAAAACGTATCTTGAATATGGTGGCAATTTAGCCATCGAAAGAATTTGAATCAAATCATATAGATTTCCGTGAATATCGCCAACAACATAACATGGCGCATCTATTCTTACGAGAGATGGTTTATTTTGAAGGACTGTAATTGTTTCTTTTACCAAAGATTCAGCTAATTCTGCACTTATTAAAGGTACTGGTACTTTATATCCAATTACATCGACTTTTTCTTCGGAATAACTTGAAATTAATTGCATAAAAGACCTAAGAACGCGTTGAGAAGTCATACAATAAAAAAATTGCTATGACGATAAATTTTTCTATGTGATTATCTCAAACCAAATTGAAAGAATATTCAAAAGTTTTACATTCCAAAATCTGAAAATACTCTTGTGTGAACAGTTTTCAAGAATATCAATAAGATTTTTGATTTGATATCAAATATTCAAATTTTATATTTTGAAAGGATAGCACATTTTTGATAAGGATTGAATAATTTACATACGGCAATATTATATTTAAATACTCTTCACACTCATAATATCAACATTTTTCCTCAAAATTATTTGCAATTGTCAATCTTCTCAAAACTGCTATGGGATTTATCTGTGAGGGATCAAAAAGAAGTGTTAGTGTAGGTGATTTAAATATAATCATATTAAGGACTTTTGAAACTGTTAATTCAATTTTTCCTCAAATAGGTCCCTTGAAATAATGTAATATTATAGCAGCATATATAATTATAATTCTAGATTTATTCAAATTTTAAAATTTTATTATGCTCACGTTCTTTTTTTCATATGCGATGATCTTATCGGAACGGCGGGGATCAAAATAGGAGTACAAAATTGTATTTCTATTTAAGGATCTGCTCTTTAAACTACTCACTATGTGATGCAATGAGATATCCCGTATACTCATATTGGATCAATAGATTAATTCGATAATTTCATGAGTACCTAAAAAAATTAATTTTGAACAAAAATAATTTAATTTTTCCGATGTATTAAAATTTATTATATGATATGGTCTTTCCTGTTAACAATCTTTCTGTGGTTTATAAAATTTTAAGACTCAAAGCTTTTAGAGTAGGCGCAAAGTGTCATGTCTATAGGGAAAATGACTCAATGCAAAATGTGATCAGACTATATCAACGCTAATTGAATTTTTAATATAAATTAAATGCAAATTTTCATTTAATGATGAATTTTAAATAATCTGTATGTTTAATAACTTATGAGAGAACTTGTGATATCAATTATTTTTAATATAAAATATAAATGATAGAAAACACATTAATTACAATATCCATTCTTATATGCAAGCATCCTAATAGTATATGAATTGATTATCAGCATATGAGTCACATTTTAATGTGTAATCATATAGAAACAAAATATTTTGGATTAATTTCAAGCACAATCGACCATTTTTAGTGCAAATATATATAAATGCAGCTTCTAAATAGCTTTCCAGAAAGTTGGAGTTTAAATCAATGATTTGCAATTTCAAATTCTTATTCTTCTAAATTTGAAGATGTATACCTGGTGATAATAGATCGACTCATGATAAATATATCGATGAGCTGATTTATTTTATAAATCTAATTTTGAAGCGATAAATGTTATAAAATAGTCGGTAAGATTGAAAAAATAAAAAGTGTCAAGATACGTTACCTCACTTTTTCTCATGGATGACGAAAAGACCCAAGTCCTTAACTTCAAGGCCAAGATGCTTTCTGACTATCCAGAAGACCGCCGCCGCCAGTTTATGATCTCTTATTACCTTTGCGATAAGACAATGGCTATCTTCGAAGCTAACGTACCAAACTCAGGTTTCCGTGCAGGCAAATTCCTTCAGCGCACACGTGTACGCAATCCAGAAACAAAGAAATTCTTTGAACCAGAGGCATTCTATGTCGGTGCTAAGATTCAAGCATCAGGTCGTGTATTCGAGTTACTCGATGCTGCTCCACACACATTCTGCTTAATGGAAGCTAACTCAGATCAATTCCCAGATGCTGATATCTCATCAGTTGTTAACAAACTTTCTCAGGTCTGCATGGGCCAAACAAAGAACCTCCGCCCACTTTTCGAGAACTACGATAAGGCTAAGACAGGTATTGTTGAAAAGTCTGAGGCTGAACAGGTCCTTTCATCATTCCAGCCAGAACTTTCAAGACATAGTATCGTTACTATCCTCCGCGCTTTCGAAGAGAAGGGCCGCTTCAACTATGACCCACTCCTTAAGTACATCAAGCAATAAATCTGATTAAACACCGTTTTTTATTTTTTTAAGACTTAAATTATTTAATAACGTTTTTTATCAAACGGCAATTTATAGTTATTTGTGTATAAATCTTCATTATATCAACAAAAATAATTAGCCATTTACTTGTTTTCTGTCAAAAACAATTTAACTGTAATTCTATATCTAGATTTCATTATGAATAGTTCTATAAATCATGAATTTTCTGTTTCAATAAGTGCACTTTATTATAGTTGTTCTAATTCAAGGCTTTAATATTAAAAGATATATCCAGAATTATTTTGAGCTAATAAGTGCAATTTAATTGTCGATATGATTACTTCAAGAGATAAAGCAGTAGAATGCCTGGTTTCATATGGTGGCTTTGGTTTACTGATGCATTAATAATAGATATTAAAATTGCGATGAGAACATTTTTCAATAGTTCAGATATCACAGGAATTCCTATCTTGCATGATCCAGGAATCAATGCAAGAAATATATAGGATAAGAGAGCACAAAGTGAAACATCTCATAACTCAATTCTAACGATAGTATGAATATGCGAATATTGCTCAATGATAAGCACCATGCACTCGGCATTCTTTTAAAACAGCTTGTAAAGAATGGACAAATCCTAAAAGAATGTTTAAAAGATGCTTAAAGAAATTGGTGAAGATATTATAATGTTTAACTTGCATTCAAATGATTTTGTATGGTGTGTTGAACTTAAATATTAATAGGTCTGGCAAATTTGTGATAATAATTTAGGCAAACTTGCTGCTTATCTTGAAAACTCATACTGGAACTGAAATTTCACTGAAAAATATTCAGAATCATAAAATGCAAGTCAATTTTTAAGGTAACGGCAAAATGAAACAAAACATACATGTATGTGAAAATTGGTAAATCCAAAAGAGGCATAATGGTTCCATGCCTAAAAAAGAAAGTTGTTATCAGGGAACTAGCTGCTCAAGCTCAAAAGATGAAGTTAACGAGAAGAATTAATTGATAGTGAAAGGCAATTGATAGATTGAGAAAAAAAAATTATAAACGAAACTTTAATAATTAACTAAAGATAGTTGTTCACAGCTATGCAATAGGATGGAAATATTCATGCAAGTAAATCTTATTTCTATAGCTCTTCAATTTGCCACCAGTGTTAGTAATCTGACCTTAAGGGTGCACTTACGCCCCTATGACATGGCATTCAATTTAGATGTTTAAGGTTAATTTTCAATGATGCTTCACGCCGGTTGTCAAAAATTTGAATTAAAGTCAGATGGGCGTAAGTGCGGCCTTAATCTGCCGAAAGAAACTCCGACCAAAATTTTCGCGAAAAATGATTCTGATAAAAACTGGAATTCATAGAATACTATTGTGTTTTTAATTTCTGATAACCGGTAGTAGGTTTGTTTGAATTCACAAATGGGATCCAATTAAGTATTCTATTAAGGAATGAAGGTTGATTGGATGACTGCTCTTTCTGCTGACTTTTTTGTTTTGTCTTGGGTGGGTTAAAAAAATAAATGATAAAACCCATAGGAAATATTGTTTTTGACTTTGGGTATACGCTATACATTTTGAATATTAAGCTTTTCAAGTCGCTATCAAGGAAAAAGAAGAATAATCTTTCACCATATTTACCAGTTTCATTGCCTTGGCAGCTAAATAAATCATAATTATATTTCTTATCATTTTCTTCAGTGTATTTTCTTACAACTGATTTGCCAATTGTAATATTTGAAAAATCTGTAATTTGATTTCCTGAGAAAATATCCAAGACCTCGATAAAATTCTTAACATTACCAACAGTGAGCAATGTTACAATTTCGCCACAAATTCTTTCTTGATATATTGCTGAAACAATTATTGCGTTTGGTCTTCCATTAAATGACAGATTGATGATTAAATGATTTTTTATTTCAGCGTGGAAATCTGATTCGCCAAAATTTGCAATATTATTATCCTTGAAATAATCCAAGAGGAATGTGTTAAAATTTCTATTTCTAATCTGAAGACAGTCTTCTGGTAAGTTTCTTTCTTGACATGTTTTGTCATAAAATTCATCGATAAAGCTTGTCATGATAAAAATTTAAATAATATTGACGGCAAAAAAAATTTTAATAAACATTTAAATTTTTTTCTACAGTCAATACTATGCAAAAATGATATTCGGCTTTTTTTGCGGTTAGGTCGCCTCCCCAAAATTTCAAACCGCAAAAGTGAATGCAAGATCCATTTTAACGATACGTAAACTAAAAAACATTTTGCATTCATATCATTATAATATATTTTTATAAAAATTAAGCTTTGAACGATAACGATTATTAAAATATTTGAATGCCGGATCCCGAAAATTTTCATATTTGTCATGGAGTTTACATGGAATTTTTTTTTCAAAAGTGTCAAACTTAGCAATTCAGGATCTCGTTTGGAGATATAACAGCTGCGATCTCCAAAATTTCAAAATATTACCTTCTCCAATTTCGTAAACTTCCATGTAATGTCAATAACTCTTCTTTGCAATAAATATGAATATATAAATCTCCAAAATATCAGGCATCATAATAGGAATACCACTATGAATATCCCTTTTATTGATGCTTTCACAATTGAATAACAAACAGTCATGTACTCCATTTCTATCAAACTCTTTTGCTTTATTAAGGGGAGTTTTCCCTTCTTGAATTTTTTTTTGTCCACAAACAAAAACAGCAAAATGTATTTCTGGGATTCATACATGAGAAATACCTTGTGAAATGCAGCTGAGAGATGAATAGGATTAAGGGTGCCCTATAACGATGATGTAAACATCACAAATTAACCTTATTAGAACTCGAATGAATGGATTATCCAGATTCTAGTTCTCAATATAATAGCCTTAAAAGTGCTTTTCTGAGGGTGGTCTATCGTCTATAGGGCACCCTTAAACCTTTTCTACGAACCTTTTTATATATATTATTCAAAATTCGAAATCTTGGAAATTTTTGTGCATTGTTTGAGCTGTGTATCATTTTTAATATCACAGCTATTAACCAAGATCAAAACAAAATCAACATTGTGTAAAATATCTTGTAATTGCATTCGTTTTGCATTTTTGGATTAGTCCTATTTTTTTATAAATATTCCATTAGTAATCAAGATTTTCTTTCTATTTCAGTAAAAGCATATTTACATATAATACATCATCCTCTATGGCAATTGCATATATTTATAAATCAAAACTGTGCAAAATAAAAAAGCAGAGACTATACGAGAGAAATATTTTGATGTCAGATATTTCATTTTCACCTATTCATGCACCAAAAAATAATTGATGTATTAAGAATTTTTTATAGGGGACAAAAAGAATTTGTTTCATTATCAGGAGTTCTGATCCCCTTAAAAATTGCCCATATGAATTGTAAGTCACATCATGGAGCAGACATCTCATTTGGTGTTTTACCACTGATATTCCTAACTGTAAGATCAGCACCTGGTTGGGCAATTAGGAAATCATAAACTTGATTGTTACGGTTTTGATGTGCATAATGGAGAGGTGTATTTCCATTAGCATCCTGAGAATTGATATCAATATATTGTAGTGCTAATTCTACATCTTCAATGGACCCCTTTAATGCATATAGATGCAGCATTGTGTTCAATTCTTTTGATCGAGTTTTAGGATTTGCTCCAAACTTGATGAGCAAATCCCTCAAACAATTATTTTGTTGGAAGACTGAATGTAACAGTGCATCAAGTCCAAAAAGTGGATCTCGAACATCAACAAACATTTCGTCGACAGCGACCTTAATGGTAAATTCATCACCTTCGTTCGCAGCCTTTTCTAGCAAATTATTGATTTGCACAAAATTGGAGTTCAGTTTTGGAATACTTCTCAAGGCGGTAGTATTGGCCTCAGTTGTTGGAACAGTCTGTGCATCAAATGAACGTGGCATTCAACAAAATTCTAAGTGGAAAAAAATTCCAAATAATATTGGATATTAGCAATATGGATATATGATGATATATAGAGTTTGATTTTACAAGAATTGATTAGGATTAGATGACTCGTAAAAAATGTAAACATCTCAAAAATTAAGTGCACCCGGAGAATATTCCATGGACGAAATTGAATGGTTTACAATATTCATCTCAATTTTTGAATAAAACCGTATTTTAGAATTTTTGTTGAATGTGACTCTTCCAACATGAACTTTGTTTGATGGAGTCAGAGTGGGGAACAAAACCACATCCTTATAATCCTCGAAAATTTTTTTTAAATCCCATTTTTTAAGGGTCCACGGTCCGGCCAAGCGAAGGCTATCGTTCAATTTCAGAATTTATATGGCAATGTCCATATCTAATTATAGATTCTGATTTGATATCATATTTATATACTGTTTTTAATACAATTTTTGGATTTCGTTAACCAAGAAGCCCTAAAAAATCGATTCTCACTAGGTGAAGACGATAACGATAATTCACCTTGAAAATGTACCGTGGGCCCTTAATGAATTTGTAATGCCCAAAACAATTTGAAGTAATTGGCATTCCAATATTCTATGAACCGTTTGCAGAAATAAAATCAGCCCTTTCCTTTTTACAAATAAAACTTAAATTTTTATCATTACAAACAAGTATTGATATTCTGCTCACATTTATGGAAGAATTCGATTATCTTATTGATTTTAATGATGTGCTCCTCATCATATTGATCTTTTGAAAATGTTTCATTAAATCTCTGAATCAACAGCGAAATTATGTTGATTTTAACAAGTTTCATCAATATCGATGGTTCTAAATATGTTAAGAACCTATATAACGCAAGATTATAAGGAATTCTTAATTCATCAGAAATTTGAAGTTTCAAAAGCAAATAACTAAGAATATTGTACATATTATTTGATACTCGTGGTGGTAATGAGTTTAGCATTACAATTAATGAATCATTTGGAATATTTTGATTTGAATCTGTCAAAAGAAAAGAAGCAAAGAGAATTTCATCTCTCTGTTGGTCGTTGTATGAATCTACAACTACGAATAAGTTCCAAACTTCATTTGCAAGGTTGATTGGGAACCTTTTGTTGATAATGGTTCCAAGAACAAAAGGAATGGCAAATTTAGAACTAATTGATCGGAATTCAATGGAAGGAATAGCTTTTTCAATTCCTCTTTCAAAAATTTTGTTTTCAAAAATAGATAAATGTGTTAATTTCGAAAACACAAGGAAATAGACGGATAACTTTTCTTCTGTTGAATCAATCATTGTTGACATGGCATTAGATATCAATTTATGAGCTTTCAATAAGTTTTCATCTGATAATGAACTTAATATGTTAGAAATCAAAGTTGTGATCTTCCTGGATGGTTCGCAAGATGTATTTGATAATTTTATCATCTTGTCAACTAAGATTACTAACAAATTATATCGAAATTCAGGAGAAATCAGATTTGATTCTAAAATTTGGCAAAAATTATCACAAATGTACTCGAAATTGTTGAGATCTTGTTCTTCAAACTTCTCTAATGAGTTCGAAATCAAATCATTGACAATTTTCGGATCAAATGATATTTTTATCATAAAACTCAAAAGATCTGATATGACAGGAAGCAGAATCTCATTTGTTATGCAATTATTAACAATCTGCATCAAATTATTGAATGTATCTGGAAAATATTCCAAAATTTTTGTAAAATAAGGCAAAATTGATGAAATTACTTCGAGTTGCATCTGCATCAGATAAGTATGTACAACAAATTCATCATTTGATGATGATCTCTCGAGTAAATCCGAAATTATCTCGTTCAAAGAAGTTTCTACGAAATCTGTTTCTCCAAATAAACTGTCCTTGTAGTTCATGACAATTATTTGGTAAAGCGATAAACTGTTGAACAAATAATCCGTGTCATCTTCATGCATTTGCTGGAGAGTGAAGTCTATTATGTCCTGGATGTTCTCAACAAGCGAATAAGGTATTGCTGCAATCAAAGAAAACAAAATTGAGCTTCCATTTATGATATCAACTTCTTTTATGATTTCTGTAGCATAAGAATATAAATCTGATGCATATTGCTGGGCTTCATCAGCTTTATATGCAATTAGATTGGTCAATATCATTAAAGAAGACTTTGTTATTTCATATATCAATAAATTCTCAGCAAATTGTTCGAAATTGATACATTTCGGATTCTTTTTGATGATGATAACTAATGATTGTGCTGCAAATTCATTATTTGTATCCATTGCGAATTGGAAAAAGAAATTTGCAAAATTCGACCATTGTTGTTCTTCAAATTCAACTCCTGACATCAGAACATTATTAATAAGGTCTAAAGTATAATATCTGATGTTTTCATTCTCAATTTGAACGAGATTAATTAAAATAATAAATAATTCGTCAAAAATTCCAACAACGGCAGGAAATGCATCTACAGCAGCATTGGTATATAACATCAATGCTATTATTTGATTTTCTTTTAACTGATTAAAATTATTAAATTTTTCAACAATAAATTGCAGAGTTTGTTCAAAACCAATTAGTTTAAATAGTGATAGGGATAACTGTTGTAAACACTCTATTGTTTGATTCAAATAATCTTCTTCTGGCGAATATAAATTTGAAGTTTCATTTAACGATAAATTTAATAGTTCTAACGTGTTTTCTTGTGTCAAATTTATCGTTGATGTTATAACAAGCTTTCCAAGTAAGTCCAATGAAACTTCTTTCATTTCTTTGTCGAAATCATCGGAAAACACTTGAGAAATCAAAGGATAGAGGTCATAGAAGTCAACCATATCTAATAGGTCATCTCTTGTTGCTATAAGTAGTTGACAAATCGAATTATAATCTTTTGAAAGTTTATTATTTATCAAATCTTGTAATCTTTGGATCAAACTTTGCTTATACTGTGTTATATCATAGTTCAACTCTTGATTCTTGTAAAAATCAACTATATTTATTAGAATTGAGAAAGTATTTTGATTAATTATTATATTGTTATGAACGAAGCCAGAACTGATTATGTCAGTCATTATATCTTCATGTCGTGAGAAATTTAAGAACTTAGCTAAAAAAGAAACGATATATAAATTATTATTCTGATAAAATTGCAAACAGTAGCGGCCAAGAAGATCAGATTCTATAATTTCATCTATAAACAGCCCTAATATACTCATGCTGTAATTTACCGTTTCATATTCCGAAACTGTGACTGTATTAATTATGATTTCGGTGATTGTTTCTAATGTTTCTGGAGTAACTCTATCCTTCATTAAAATTAATGATCTTTTAAGAACGAACAATGCATATTTCCGAGTTGTTTCAGATGATTGACTGATATAATTTAACAGAACGGGGAAAAAATCTTCGCATTGCATTAGCGTGTCGATCCTATTGACGATTTCGTTGATATCATTTCCGAAACTCCGAGCCAACTGAGACAATGATGATCTCAAGTCATCATCAACGTTCATAATGATTCGAAACCGATGCTACTTGGGTCAATTTATGATAGGAAAGCAACGAGATTCAGCAACTTTAGCCCTACCGAGAAATATCAAATTTGATTATTATTAAAATGATTGCTCGAGCCGCAATAAATATGCAACAAACAACTATTTATGTATAAAAACAAACAAAAAATAGTATAATACGAGTGGATTAAATTATAATCTGAATTTTGAACTGTAATTTGATGCGATCGACATTAATCTGGCATAGGAATGACTTCATATGAGAAATGTTCAAATATATCGAACTTATTGCTTGGATATATAAAATCGGGAAGAATTGAACTCGAAGGATTCGTTTGAGATTGATGTCCAATCTTTGGTGGGATGTAATTAATTTGTTCGATATCTGTAGAGCATGGTAATTGAACATCTAATTTGATCGGATTATAATAGACTCGTTCAGATGTGCCTTGAGGCGGTCTTTCTTCTGGCTTCTCAATAATAGGCTCACTAGATGACTTTAATAGTTCTAAAACGCTCCTATCTAGCCATTGTTCTACCATCCAAAAATATCTTTTTCAAAAAATGGGCAATGCATCAGTGCATTGCATCATATACGGCAAATAAATCATAATACTTTATATAACTACAAAAAAAATAATATAATATTTAAAAATTATCTAATCATGAGGGAAAACAAAGGCATTAATGACAGGCAAGATGGTTACTTTGTCATCTTCAGTCTTAATATTATACAAGAAATCACCTTCATTGTATATTTCTCCTTGATAATCGATAGATAATGAATCTTGGCCTTCATCAATAGCCTTCTCAAGAGAAGAAGCCAATTTCATCAATATCATATCAACACAAGACATCTCTGCATGCAAATCTGTATAAGGAGGATTAGTTCCAGTGAAAATTTGTTTCAAATCGAGATTTTTCTCGTCATCAGTAATTGTTTTCATTATCTCTATCAAAATGAAGTAATATATAACCGAAATAGCTGTGTATTCATCTAATAAATGATTGCATTTCTTAGAAAATACAAAATTATTCATTTTTTCGATTTTTTCCGAAATTTCGAGCATTTCTATCAAAGGATTCAATGGTTCAAGTATTTGGTTGAGTTGTTTGCGAGTAGGGAGATCGAATTCGAAGCCTTCTGTGATCAATTTTCTTCTAATTAACGGAACTCCGTATAATTTCTTGAAAATATCTCTGTAATTGATTAAATCTGTCTCCAACTCTTTCAACCTTTCCTTCAAGATGTCAATTGTCCGGTTAGAATACGTTCTTGTCTCATTAAGATAATATTCCAACAATTTTGTTAAGAAACCCTCTCTATCGATGACATCCAATGGTATACGATGTCCAAATATGTATTCTGCAGCCTTTGCAAGTCCAGAAAAGTCATCTTCTTCCTGAGTTCTCAGAAATCTCGCTGTATCAAGGTAAAAATGGTACATTCGAGTAGCTCTTGAGTCTAAATAAGAGTAATTATCGTAGAAATCTGTAAAACGAGTCACATAAAAGCGAGATAAATTTGCTAATTGAAAACAATTCTCTACTTGGTTTTCGTAATAAGAAGAAGTGACATATGATATGAATCCTTCTGTTAAATAGTTACTGGCAGCTGGATAAACAAAATTGGGATAATATTTCGATAATTTTGAGGGATGAAATTCGATTTTTTGGATTTTCTGGGAAATTTGCATGAAATACTGAGCAAGATTCTTATCTATGGCTGTTATAATGTTATTAGTGGAATCTCGTGATAATAATGAGAAACTGTAAAGCCAAATTGAATTTATGAAATGTTGGAACTCTTCTGCGTCTAAAATGAAGCTCGCGAACATAACATATTGAAATGCGGTAGAAACGTCGCAAGATGGATTGTAAAGAAAAGAAATCTTGCTATTTCCGGAATTTAAAAGGGATAAAAGGAAACCTATTGAGTTTTCAGTCACTGTATTGATAATCTCATTTAATGAATCCTTAGTTGCCTTGTTATTTTGCTTTATTTTTTGGAGAATGATTAAAGCAAAATCTTTGAATATCTCTGGTGAGATTAAGTTGGACAGAAACATTGAAAATGCTCTAACAAATACATTTAATGTTTTGATATCTGCCTCTCGTACTTTTTCAAATATCGAAATAAATTTTTTTGCGGTTTCTGTATTTTTAGCTTTTTCTTGTATATCATCTGTAATTTTAGCTAGTTTATCGACAATCTCTTGCTTTGTATTAAAAAAATTTCGGATTTTTTCAAGATAATGAATTGCTTTTTCCGGAGATTTGGCTAATTTTGATGTTTGATTATCAAGATATCGAATTTCATCCTTGCTCAGTCCAAATGTCTCCTTTATTTCCTTAAATTCTAAAGCAATTTTATTCGAAGACATTTCGCACCAAAAAAAAATAAAAATAAAAAATTCATTTAGATAATCACCATTTACTATGAGATAATCATATTTTTCAAGATATTAATATATGGTTTCACTAGTGGGCAATTTCAGAAATTTGTGAATTTATGTATTTGATGCTCAATATTCAAGTGGGAAATGCACTCACAGCTGAAACAATAGAATAACTACTGACCATATCAAATTAAAATAAAAAAAATTAATGTTCGATATTTGCGACAAATACAAGATACCAACAGTTCAATCTCTATATATATTCTTAGTGATTAGAATATATCATTATAGATGAACAGAAATTCGTATATTCTCCCATCAAATGTGAGATTTCTTAATCTCATTATGTGTGATTGAATGCTAACATATAATATTAAGACTTAATTCATTCTTGTTAAAATCTGTTTGAATACATTCGCTTCAATGAAAGACTTAAACTCATTATTCATTGAATTTATCCAAATTGCATCTTTGGTATGAGTTAAAGAGAGCAACAACTTGAAATATAGAAATTTAAGTAGTTTTACATTGATATTACCCAACTGTCATGAATACTAGGCACATTGTAGGTTGATCTCGGGAAATCGAATTCTCAAGATTTTGAAATGATAAAAAAATCGAATTTTGAATATGATGTATTTGCTCTTTGATTCGATATGCATATTATAATAAAATTTTAAGGCATGATGTAAATAAACGATGGATGATGCTGAAACTATTGGAAACTACCTCAAAAGTAAAGATCCACAAAAAATTGATGTAGAATCGATATCTTTGAGGCAGACTCCTGCTACTTTACATGATTTTGCTGTAAAATGTTCAAATTCTGATGCATCTTATCTCAATGGAACTGTTTTTCTGATGAACAAGAGTCTATTTTCACTATATGCCACCCAGAATCAAGAAAACAAATCATTAATCCGAAATTCACTTATCGAAATCAGCAAAACAAATTTAGATGACTTAGATTCATCAACAATTGTCCAACTTACATCTAATATTTTCAGGACAGAAGAGTTTAATTGGCCAGAACTTATTGATTTTATTCTAGAATCCCTATTTACGACTCACAAAGGAAGATTATTCATCAAAATCACATCATTACTCAAAGCATTCTATGATGAAGCCCATTTATCCAAAGCATACAATGCAATTACGAACTACATGGCTTCCCAAGATCCAAGATTACAACTTTCTTTAATAATTTTACTTAATAACATGAACAACAGTCGTATTTTTGATGACAACATTGAACTATTCGACAACATGTGGTCAGCGATCATCAATATCTCCAAGAATCTCCCTCAGCGTATCTCATCATGTGTATCTACAACTGCAGAGCTATTTAAGTCATTACCAAGTATCTCACAGCTTAATTCCAAGTCATGTTCCAATATCGTACTATCAGCCAATGATTTTGACTCGTTAAAACCGATAATTCCATTCTTACACATCATAAACACTGATTTACTGTCAATTGTGATTACTAAACTACTTATCTTGATAGAGACACATGAAACATATTCATCATTTGTACTAGATATCATTACATATCTTTGTTCGCAAGAAAACGAGTTTATTCCTGATGAAAAACTTGAAATCATTTATTCCAAACTTTTAGACAGTTTACCAAACAAACCAGCCATGGCGTTGTTTGTTCCTTATTGTCCATTCATCTCCGAATACTTTGATGAAGAAGAGTTCTATTTAATTCTCAAAGAACTGTTGATTTCTGATGATGAATTATTCCACACATTTGGACTTTTATGTCTTGAAAACATTGGAGATCATTCTGAATATTATTCACTTACAATTCCTTCCAAAGTGATTTCTCTTGTCATTAGAACACTCCCCAACAAACTATCTATAGATACAATCAAGAGTTTGATCAAATCAGGATTGTTTGATCATGAAAAATCTGTTTATGACTTAGCAAATCATTATTACAAAATTTCTAATGACAAAGAATGTATTTTTGATTTGTTTAGATTGTATTTGAAGACACCTATATCTAAGGATTTAACTATTGATGCGATTTACGATTTCGCTTATTTAACATTGTTGAAATCCCAGGATTTACGTGAAATTGGAAATTGTTTATCATTAATTTCAGGAACTTCTTTGTTTGATTGCGATTGTTTCGCTCCTTGCGCTGAAGATTACATTCCTTACATTCTTAAGTTGTTTAATAACAATGTAATGATAGAATACGCGTTAGAAAACCTTTCTTATTGTCTTAGATGCGAAGAAGAACTCGCAAAAGACGTTTGCGAATCAAGGATGAATCAAATCATGAAATTTGCTGAAATTTATCCTTCTTCAATTTCATCAGTAATTTTGATTTGTTGCTTACTTAAGAACGACAAATGTCTTGAGAAATGTATAGACATGATCAAGAATATCAAAGATCCTGAGTTATTATACGAAGTCAGCGTTAATTCAGCAGAAAACTTAGAATATCCTGATGATTCGAAATTTGCTTTTGACATTTTCCAAATTTTGATTGATCAATCTCTCGTTGTTTGTGAGAATGATAAGTTGAATTGTATATTGGATTCTATCATCGATATGATGAATAACTACTTGATTGATGAATCCCTACTTCATCCACTTTATATATCTTTCATGTCAATGAAACATCCTGTTTTTAATGCACATGGTTTTGCTGTTTTTTCTGATGAAAAAACAAGAATTTTGTCATTTTTGGCAAATTACGCTAAATACAATGAAGAAAGCAAATCGGAAGTATCTAATACTATTTGTTCATGGTTTAGTTTGTCTAAATTCAGCATGATGTCTTGTTTCACAGATGTCATTGCTGAGTTAGTCGAATTCGATGTAATTGGAGATGAATACAAACGATTTTATGACATTTTGTTTTCGAATTTGAGTTCGGATGAAACACTTGATGACAGTAGAATATTGAGAGCAATGATGTGCATTGTAAGGATCTACACAGAGTCTATTGAAATTGATCTATTGACAGCACATTTAATCAACATGTGGTACGAAACAGAAGAAATATCTGGTCCATGGAGAAGTTCCCTTGGAACATCTATTTTAGAATTATGTGCTTTAGGTGCTGATGCAATGACTGAAGACATTGAAGATGTTTTAGTTGATTTCCCATTTACATCTGACTTCTGTTGTTGCGATATTGCTTGCGAATCATTGGTAGAAATTGTTAAGAATGATAAGTTTGATGATTTAGTTCCAAGTGCCGCAAAATCAATGTGTGATGTCGCAATAAATAATGATGCTTATTTGTGCAAGATGGGAATTCTAAAGGATACTGTTCACCACATGAAAGAAGAGCTTAAGAATATATTTGATAGATACGGAGTATTGGTTGATGAGTTTAGGAAGATATACCAAGAAGGAAAGGAAACTGATTTAACAAAGTATAATAGAATGATAGATGACTTAAAACTAAATAAATAATTCTTATATTCTCATGTTTAAAATAACATAATCAAAATTTTTATCGAACATTAAAAAATTATGCATCAATTCAATAATGGAATTGTGATATAGTTAATTAAGTATACTATATCATCCTTGCCGAAATCTGTCTTAAGGATAATGGGCAAGGATAATCTGCCAATGTCTGATAAGATCATTTAAGGTTTTTTCATTTTAATTCATTCGGTATATTTCAATAGAATGGTTAATTTTAAGTAATTTACCTATTGTCGCACACATTTCCTTCACTCAAAGAGAATATTGATTATTTGGTTGACAAAGTATAGAAATTCTTTCAAAGATTTAAATGCTCCCTTAATATATATATAATATCTCTTAGATATTTCTGAGTTATTGAAATAATGAAAATCGATGACCATCTGCACATTAAATATAACTGATACAACTATATCAGGAATTTTTGAGAATAAAATATGTTCTATTCAAAATGAGGGAAAAAATGAAATCATTACAGAGGTATCCTTTTTACCAGATCTAATTGATATTGCAAATCTCTCAAATTTCATTAATATTAAAGTAATTCCTACTGGTTTATTTGCTGGTCATAAAAACCTTACCCAAGTTGTTTTTCCACCTAATATAATAGAAATTGGCGAAAAGGCATTTTATGAGTGCATAAATCTGTCTGGAACTTTAAATCTTCCCAATGAAAAAAAAGTCTGTAATAAAGCATTTTATCATTGTAAAAATTTGATAGGCTCGATTAATTTTCTTAAGTTAGAGTCGATTTGTGATAACGCATTTAGTCTTTGTTCTAATTTAAATGGAACCTTAAATTTTCCAATTGTGAAAACTATTGGTATTGGTGTATTTGGTGACTGTGTTAATTTGACAGGATCAATTGATTTTCCTTTTTTAGAATCAATCGGCGGCGCTGCATTTCTTCGCTGTTATAAATTAAATGGAAAAATAAATCTTCCGATGATAAAAAAAATTGGTACTTCTACATTTAGTAGCTGTCGTAATTTGATAGGATCTATTGATTTTCCTTACATAGAGTCAATAGGTAATGGTGTGTTCACGTTCTGTTGTAATTTAAATGGAACAATAAATCTTCCAAATGTGAAAATAATTGGTAATGAGTCATTTAATTGTTGTTATAATTTGACAGGATCAATTCACTTTCCTTATTTAGAGTCAATTGGAGAATATGCTTTTGGTTTCTGTTATAAACTAAATGGAAGTGTATATCTTCCTAATATTAAATCAATTAATCATTCTGCTTTTGTCAATTGTATAAATATCATCGGAAATCTTAATTTTCCAAAAATATAATCAATTGGTCCGTGGGCATTTATTGGATGTAAAAGTTTGAATGGTAGTTTGAGCTTTCCAAATATCAAAACTATTGATGACATTGCATTTTCTAGTTTAAAAATTACTGGATCAATTGACTTTCCTAATTTAGAATCAATTGGCTATAGAGCATTTTCATCGTGTAAAAATTTGAATGGAATAATTAATATTCCTAACGTTAAAATAATTAGAGATGATGCATTTAGGGAATGTGAAAACTTATTTGGATCAATTAATTTTCCAAATCTAGAATCTTTAGGTCAGTCTGCGTTTTTTGAGTGCAGAAATTTAAATGAATTAATTTGTATTGGTGGCGTTAAATCAATTAATAATTCAGTATTTTTTGGATGTTTTAATATGCTTGGATCATTCAAAAAATTTATTTTTCATTCAGTTGGAACACAGGCATTTTATAAATGTTATAATTTGAGCGGAACTCTTGATTGTAGGAAACTTACAAAAATCAATAATAGTGCATTCGAATGTTGTGGTGTTGAAAGTTTAATTAATAACGTGGGTGATTTTTCACCCAGCCATAAGGATCACACTTTTGAGAGTTTTACGTGGCATTTGCCGGCAAATGCCATGTAAAGTTATCTCAAATATTTTAGGGTAAATGCACCGGCAACCCCTGGGAAATAATTGAGAATAAATTACGTGGCATTTGCCGGCAAATGCCATGTAAAACTCTCAAAAGTTCAGCCCCTTACGGCTGGGTGAAAAATCACCCACGTTACTGATAATATTTTATCGATCGATTCTGATGCATTTTCAAGTTGTCGTAGATTAGTAAACTGTTCTTTCATGAACCTTATCACAATAAGTAAAGGTGCATTTTATTTTTGTTTAAATTTATCTGGAATTGTTAACTTAAGTAATGCATTATATATTGGTGAGAGAGCGTTTCAATTTGATAGAAAGATTTATTGTATTATTTTATTATCATCGGAAATAACAATTGGATATGATGCATTTGATTCTAATGTTAATTTGACAATATTACACCCATTGCATTTGAAAAATGAAATAATTTCCAATTATAAATCTCATAATTTCTATATTTATTATTTGGGACTTAAAGATCCTAACAATATAATACCATTATCTGTAAAAAAAAAAAAAAAAGGTAGTGGGGCCTCCAGGCACTTCGTGCCCTCTAGCCCTGAAGATGTTTAGTATAACTTTGTCCGGACAAGTAAGGGTCTATCGTCGCTACAGGAAAAGTTACGGGCGTTCCAAGGAAGTATACTTTGAGAAGCCTTTTCTGTCACTTTTCAGGAAAAAACATTTTATTATTATATTATATAAAATGAATTTACAAAACCACGTTACCCTTCTTTTTTGGAAATAAGATGAGAGATGTAAAGATATTCTATTGAGAGAACTTAAGAAACTACCGAATGGTCTAACATTTGTAGATTTGTTCGGTGGAAGTTTCTATATATCCCATTTGTGCCATACAATATTCCCAGACTCAAAGATTATATGCAATGACTTCGACAACTATATGGACCGTCTCAAACATATACCAGATACAAACAATATATTGAAAGAGTTAAAAGAAAAGATACCTATAGGTAAGATGGAACGTATACCATTAGATAAGAAAAATATTGTGAGAGAGGTTTTGAAAAAAGCAGAATATATAGACTGGGATAGTATATCTGCTAGACTATTGTATAGTGGTTCTATAAGAGTTCATGACATTGAAAACACTTATGTCAAATGTTTTAATATTAACTATACAAATGTTTTCAAAGAGGACATAGAAAAAATATATTGAGGGTATAGAGTTTGTGAGATGTCATTGGACAGAGTTGTATGAAAAAATATAAAGACAAGGAAAATGTTTTCTTTATAGTGGACCCGCCGTTCTATAACACATGGGATTTTCAATACCAAGTAACTGGACTTTGAGAGACTCTTTAGAAACTTTAGACGTTATACATAACCATCCATGCTTTTACTTTACATCCGATAAAAGTGGTTTGGAAACCGTTATGAGATGGTTAGAGGACATACATGACTATGAGTTTAGATATGACAAGATAGAATATGAGAGAGGTCCTATAAACCGGAGAAAGTGTCATAACAAAGAAATTTTATTAGTAAGTAAATGTGGTTTGAAATAGGACTACTTGTTTTAGGTTTTTTCCATTGTGTCATTTATTTATTTGACGTGGCAGAAAGGTACAGAGAATATGAAGATGAACCAATGCCTGCAAATGTCCAGTATATGTACTCGTAAGAGATATTTTTATCTAATATTAAATGGACGCACAGAACTTAGCAAATGCACAGCAACCTGGACAACCAAACCCAGAGAATATTCCAAATGAAGTTAGAATACAAACTGCAATGGCAAACTATGGTCAAGTGTCAACAGATGTACAAATGCAAACTGCCATGTCAAATGACGCTGCGTTAGGCTTACCACCATGGTATGCAAATATGAGATGGAAAGAGTTTTATACAAACCCTGAAGTGGGATATAAACAACTTTATGCAGATGACGCGAACACAGGAGTTGACCCAGAATATGTTTTCTACCAGAGGAGAAACAGAATGTATGAGCTCCAGTTAAAAAATGCTATGGAACTCAGAAGGAAACGTAAGAGACTAGGTGGACATTAGATTTTTACACGTAGTAAATGGGTTTCTTCAGTAGTATTGGAAACTTCTTCAGAAGAGTTGGAAGAGGTATATGGAATGGAATAAAAACCGTAGGAAGAGGAATTTGGAACGGTGTCAAAAATATTGGTAAAAGAGTAGGTCAGTTCGTTGGTATTATACCTAAAGACCCTGAACCAGAAGAACAAGCTCCTGTTATACAACAGCCTGAACCTACACCACAGTCTAGTTGGCAACCAAATCCAACACCTCAACCGTATTAAAAAATTATATTTTTACCGTTCGATAGTAGTTGTATATGAAACTAAGTTCTAAGTAAAACGCATGGTATAATGGAATTATTCTTTTTCTTCCATCTGTTGTAAACCATACTTGAAAGTCTGAAATACTTCCACTTGGTGGTTCATATAGCTTTGTAGGTTTTTCGTAAAAGTCATTTGCCAAGCATAAAAAAGAGTTTTGGGCGCCAGAAAATGAAGCATGAACTATCACAGCATCTTGGTCGAAAACATTTTCATATGTTCCATTAGGGTTTTCGACTTCATAAAAGTCCGGGTGTACTGGATATGCTGCAGGCTGATTTAACATCCTCATAAATCTATACCATGCCAAGTTGTTATATTTTGTAGAAATATAAACGTTTTCTCCAAGGTCTTCTATTCTATTGATTTTAACAGTTGCATTTTTCCTGTCATATATAATATCGAGATGGTACTCTCCTTCGTCAATATTATACTGGTTTGCATATTCGATATAGATATCGTTTATTTTTTCTTGAAAAGCTTGAAGAGTTGTTTCTAAGTTTACAAGCAAATTCACTTGTAAAAGTTTTCCCTGTTCAAATTTCTCATACATACGTTTTTCTTTGTTATAGTATCGAACTTCAAAACCGACTGTAAATGGGAAACCATGTATGGCTTCTGAAATGAACTTCATTCTACGAAAGCCAATAGCTTTTGTGACGGATGGGTCTCTTAACCATCTTAACGGGTAGTCAAAACGATAGCCTTCATGCTTTACGGTCTCTGTCTCAAACTTTTGACCTACATTGGTAAAAAGTTCATCTAATGGTTTAGTTGTAGCAACTCTAGAATTTTCTTTTTCTATTGAAAGCATATTTTATCTAGAATAAAAATGTCAAATGAAACAGCGTCTATGAGAGAAATACAACACAACCGACAACTCATTATACAAGCTCTAAATAAGAACACAACAAACTTTTCAAACTATTCTAAGATATCTGAGTCATTGAAAGAAGGAAACTTAAAACTGACATTAAACCCAATGACAGATGAGTTTCTATTTCAAGACAATAAGAACCATACTGTCTGTATAAATCCAACAAAAGGAACTTTAAACGAGAAACCTATAAATGAACTTCTTTTGAAAGCAGATGTTGACAACAAAGCTGACAAAGAATATGTAGACGATGCAATAGCAAAAGAAGAAGAAAGAGCTAACAATGCTTATGCAACAAAAGAACATACTCATCCTGAACTAGCAGACAAAACATATGTTGACAATAAAATGTCAAGTGAAGTGACAAGAGCTGAAAACGAATATTCTAAAAAGACTCATACACATTCTATATCTGAAATAACAGACTTAAACGTTAGCCTTGAAAAGAAAGCAGATAAGGGATGGGTGGCTAGTGTGTTAGTGAAGAAGGCGGATAAGGAATATGTGGATGAAAAAGATAACGAAATGAAAGAAAGGGTTGACTGGTACCATGAATGAACATCGAAGATTTTAAAAACTAAAGCCGATACAGGATGGGTTTCAGGATGTTTAGACCTTAAAGCAGATAAAACTTATGTTAACGATGAGTTAGAGAAGAAAGCAAATAAGACTCATACACATACAAGTTTTACAACTGTTGCTATAGAAAGTATTGAAGGAACGGTTGAAGAAACTGGTGGGGATGCATTATATTGTAAACCTCCTAACTTTCCACAAGGTTTAACATCGGATGACGACATAACGACGATGAGAAACATTAGATGTAAAGATGTTTATGTCATGAAGGATGAACATAATATTAAATTCACTGCTCAAGATTTATATGACAAGAAAGCAGACAAAACAGAGCTTCAAACATTAAAGACAGAAATACTTCAAACATTATATCCTATAGGCTCTATTTATACGTCAATGAACTCTACCAGACCAGAAGGAGTACTTGGTTTTGGAACTTGGACTCAAATAGTCGACAGGTTTTTGTATTGTGCAAACTCTTCAAAGGAAACAGGTGGAAGTAAAACGATTTCAGGTGAAAACTTACCTGCACACAGTCACTACATAGATTTAAGTACATCTCAAGCAGGTTGGCATAAGCATAAATTTTGGGATTGGTCAGCAATGAAAAAAGGTAAAGGATATGATGTGAAAGACGACGTTCAGTTTGCTATAAATTGTTTCTGGGGTAACACTCAGGGAGATGGAAACCATACACATCGCGTTTCAGGGTATACGCAAACAACGGGACAAAGTAAAGACTACATGCCACCTTACATGACAGTTTACGCATGGTATAGAAATGCTTAGTCGTCATTTTCAACTTCTTTAGCATATTCGTCAGGAGTTGTCTTATATTGGTTAGGAACTGTCTTTGAAAGTATACCACCTTGAACTTTGACAAGTTTGAAACGAGGTCTGACAATAGTAGTTTTATCTTCTGCTTGCAGTCTGTACATTTTGCCATGTTTGCCTAAAACTTCATAATATTCTCTTGTATACTTTCTTCTATTTTTACGAACACGAATGTGAGTACCTGTCGGGTTCCCATTGTTGTCATAGTCAATAGTATTTTCATATGGGTCGCGTTAGGTATTTCTATTTTTACTTTGTCACCTTTCTGAAGTTTGAAGCCCGGCATTCTTTCTTGTTTGTCTCTTTTACTAATTATTAAATATATAGTCTTTCTCTAAGTCAGGGTTTGTTTTTCATTTCTTCGGGGGAGTGGTTTCCCAAACCTTTTTGTTTACGGTTATTGTAAATATTTAAAACTTGTCTCATCTTTGCCTGGGGAAGTGTCTATATTTGTCATCATATGACATTCATTTGCTTCACCACCTTGTGGTTGGTTTAAGTCTTTAACATTTTTATACAACCGTCAATGACACAAGAGCAGATGGTTTTGGTCGACAATGAAATATTGGTTTACATTTTTTGAACGCAGATAGTTTTAATATCGTCTGATTTGAAAGAACTTTCATAGTCAGACGATAGTTTTGTTGGATGGTATTTGTCAACGAATATTGTCAAGCAGTTTTCACATCTAAAATATTTTTGGACCATAATGGTATGGCTTCACAGTATCTTGTGTTTTGACCGACAAATATTAGCCAGTATGGTGGTCCATCTGTTCTAACTCTCGGAATGTTTCCAAGATATCCATAAACCAAGCATTTGGTGTTGAACTAAAGATTTTTACCATGAGTGCTTTCTTTGTCGCTTTAGAAACATAGGGGTCCTTGTTTGGATTCGTCATTTTTATCCTATAAGAAATGGGTTTATTTGGCGCGTTAGCAGGAGTTGCATCTAGATTTTTACCCGCAGTGGGAACAATAGCCAGAGGTGTATTTGGAGTTGGAAGGAAGATTTTGAGTACATTAGGTATACTTAAGAGAAAGCACAACCTATTATACAAACTGTACAGAAAGGTTGGGATGTAGCACGAGATGCAACAAATCTTATTCCAAATCCTGAAACAAGAGGAAAAGTTCAAGGATGGATGGACAATGTAGGAAAGACAAGCAGGAAACTATTATAACAAAGCAAATGACTACTATAACCAAGCAGGACACTATATGGACCAAGGTGAAAGATTCTTTAACAGAGGATATAACCATGCACAACAGTGGGTAAACAATAACCAACCGCAACCACCTCAAACTTGGGGAATGTAAAATTTTTTACTGAGATGAAATGAACAATACAGCATTGAGACAAATGGGTTCAAGATGGATTTGTCGACTTCCAGCAGTTACACAACGTGTTTGTCAAGTTCTTCCTATACCTCAGGAAGTTTTAGACCGACTTAAAAAACAACAACAACCAGTTGAAAACAAACCAAACTAAAATTTTTTACTGAGATGAAATGACCGAAGAAGTTGAAACGGTAGATTTGACACCACAAACAAAAAGTTCAGAACCATTGTCAAAACCTGTCAAAGAACTTACAGATGAAGAGAAAAATTCAATAATAGAAAGTGCCAGGTCTGGAAATACAAACCCTAACTATAAAGTCACTTTTCATAGAAATGGAACGGCTAGTATCTCAAAAAAGAAACAGACTCTCACAAATAAAATATTGAAGTCTGAAGGAGCTTTCGAGACAACAGATGGAAAAGTTTACTTCACTGACCAACAGTTCATTATAGAACATCTCATTGACTTAGAGTCGAAATATTCTAAACTTTACAACAAACACAAAAAGTTGAAAGGAAAACAAAAACAAATGGCATATGATATTTATGAAGATGTTGACAACACAACTGTTCCTGCAGGTGAGGTAAAGTCAGAGGAACCAAAAAGTGACGAAAAACCGATAGAAGAAGAAAAACCAAAAACTGAAGATAAACCAAAACCAAAGTTTAGTTTGGAAACTAAACCAAGTCAACCTTCATTAGCTGGTATGGGTTGGCGTCAAAGACTTATGGCTTCAGGCGGTTATGTAAAGTAAAGAAAAAAAATATTTTTTTATTTTATTTGAAATGTACGCTGAGTTTGTTGGAGAAGACCGTTGGGAAACTTGTTTGTTAGATGAGAAATATGAAATTCACTGTTGTGAGTCATTTGAAGTCAGAAACAAAAAGACAAAAAGAGTTTTAAGCGAATGGGAGCGAAATAACGGATATGCTATGATGAGTATGGGTGGAAAACAATATTTTAAACATGTTGTCATTGCAACTCATTTTATACTGAATCCTAACAATTTACCTTTTGTAGACCATATAAACCGTATAAGAAACGACAATAGACTTGAAAACTTACGTTGGGTCACTCGTTCTGAAAACAATAAGAACAAAGGCAAAATTGGAGATATTGTATTCGAATTTGTCGACGAACTAGAAGATGAAACAATTGAAATTACAGACTATGGCAAGCATACGTTTGAGTTTTACTACTATAGCGAAGAACAAGACTCTTTCTACTTTTATACCGGCGTAAACTATAGGAAATTACAAGTATATTTTACTAAGGCGGGCTATGCTTATGTAAACACTAGAGATACAGATGGAAAATGCGTTCAAATACTTCTTAACAAATTCAAGAAGCTATATGGCATACCATTTTAAACAATATATTTTTACATATATTAAATGCTTCAGGTTGAAAAACAAAGAACAAAAGTAGTAGATACAAAACCGTTAGACTATATCTTTACAAATGCTGGTAGGACTATTTCAGATGAAGAAATTTCATCCCGAGCGTACAGGTTTGACTATCCAATTCGTTGGCTTCAAAGTCCTTCAGATGCAAAGGCAATAGGATTTAGAAGAGTTTTGTTTTCAAATAGAACTAACGCATTTATGTTCGCAGTATATTTTCATGGGCAGTATAAAGGTTCTGATGGTCTAATAGAAAAATTTGACGAAATGAGAATCTTTACAGTTCGTTCAGACGAAAGTCTTGAGAAAACTCTAAATGACTTTCAAACTCAGATAAACAAATACTATTGGGAATTTCAAGAAAAATACGACTCTTTACTAAATGGAACATACTATCTGAAACTAGAATATGACAAGATGAACTCCACCGTTTCATTTCAAAAGATTGAAATTAACCCTCCAAGAGATACGGAGTTTTTATTTTGGGGAGTAGACAAACGTTCTTGGGCACAATTTCTTCGGTTACTAAACCAGAACGAACCATTACCACCAGATGGTCCATTTAAATTTATACTTCCACCAGCAGATTTGACAGTTTATAGAAACGTGTTTGACCCTCAAAATGTTATGTGTCATGCAAGTTTCAGTTCAAGCAACAATGGTTTTCTATGTATCGGTAAGGACTTTTATGACTTTGCTTCTAAATTCTACGAACCACCTAGTAACAGTTTCTCTGACTTTCAAGTTTGGTTCACAACAAATGGTGTGCAGCATATTATTCCATTGTACTATGACTTTTATCTCGAATTGTCTTTCATATACAACTACGGAAAAGTGCTGAAAAAGTATTGAAAAATAAAGTTTAGGTGGAGCCAGGTCCCTCGGTCCCTCGGTCCCTCGGTTAAACGAACTTCTCTGAAAAAATGAGACAACATGACATTTTGACAACAGTCCAGGAAATAAACTTCATCGTACATGTTTTGTCATGATTTCATCGTAAATGTTTTGAAGAACTGAAGGTGCTACCAGGTCACTCGGTCACTCGGTCCCTCGGTTAAACGAACTTCTCTGAAAAAGTGTGACAACATGACATTTAGACAACAGTCCAGGAAATAAACTTCTTCGTAAATGTTTTGTCAAGACTTCTTCGTAAATGTTTTGTCATGATTTCATCGTATATGTTTTTGTCATGATTTCATCGTACATGTTTTGTCAAAACTTCTTCGTAAATGTTTTGAAGAACTGAAGGTGCTACCAGGTCACTCGGTCACTCGGTTAAACGAACTTCTCTGAAAAAATGAGACAACATGACATTTTGACAACAGTCCAGGAAATAAACTTCATCGTATATGTTTTGTCATGACTTCTTCGTAAATGTTTTGTCATGACTTCATCGTAAATGTTTTGTCAAACATGAACGTATATGTTTTGTCATGACTTCTTCGTAAATGTTTTGTCAAGACTTCTTCGTATATGTTTTGAAGAACTGAAGGCGCTACCAGGTCCCTCGGTCACTCGGTCCCTCGGTTAAACGAACTTCTCTGAAAAAGTGTGACAACATGACATTTTGACAACAGTCCAGGAAATAAACTTCTTCGTATATGTTTTGTCAAGACTTCATCGTACATGTTTTGTCACCCGTTGAATTTTGTATAAAAAGCAACCGTCGACATTCCGGCGGTTGGTATATTCTTCACAAAATGCTTGTTTTGTCAAAACTTCTTCTTCGTAAATGTTTTGTCAAACATGAACATACATGTTTTGTCATGACTTCTTCGTAAATGTTTTGTCATGACTTCATCGTATTCTTTCACCCATTGAATTTTGTATAAAAAGCAACCGCCGGAATTCCGGCGGTTGGTATATTCTTCACAAAATGCTTGTTTTGAGGTCGAGCCACTTTTGGTTCACCGTATTTTTCACCCGTTGAATTTTCCCGAAATAAAAAATAAAGTTAGTTTTTTTAAAAAAATATTTTTTATTTTTATTGTAAGAACATGTTAGCAACAACAGCACCAAACTCGTTAGTCATGAACCCAACATCTATGTTAGTAGAGATGAAAAGCTTCATTCCTTCTTCATATACTTTCGAAACAGAAATCCAGAAGATAAAGCAGGAACTTCTCCAAGGAGATTTAGATTGCACTGCAAAAGATGAAACAAATGAACAATATCTTTATGAAATGCAGGACCTGGTGGAACATTTACCTA